CTGAGCCATGCTGGCTGAGCAATTATTTTCCATTCTTGATCCTTAAAAGATCCTGAAGAATTTTTTGTTATTATTACAAGCATTACTTTTGTGAAGTATCTCATGCATAGAAAGAGACTATATACATATGTATCTATATGCACAGATATATAGGTTGTCCCAAAAAATGTATACGCACTTTAACAGCTGATAACTCACTTAATTTTCACTCCTTTTCAGGTTTAACTGATTTGAAATAATAGGTGAAGCCAGACTAAGTTTTGAACGAAGAAAACTCATCCTAAAGTGCCACTAGACTTTTTCAAAAGGGGATACATAAAAAATAAAGTTTACAGTATAAAACCAACGAATTGAAGGCACACAAATTCCGAACAAAATGATTCTTGATGTTTGCGATTCCACTGCTTCGTGTTATCAGTAGTGCATGGACCAGAATCGTCATCGGTTTGAAAACAGGCATTGACAAAAAAATTATTCACTTCTGTACATTCTTTTAAATTTTGAAATGAAATGTATGTTAATGAATACTGACTTTAACCTTTTCACAAACTTACATAACATTCTTACACAGAGGCCATGACAAAAAAGATGAGACAATCAGAACATTTTTCTTAAGCTCTCTCTCCATTATCTTGCAGAATCCTATAATCTGTCCTATTGAAACACCTTTCTAATTTTCTTGTTCTTTTAAAAATTCAGTAATTATTTTTAATTTCTAGTACTAGATTCATGGGTAGTCTGTGAAATAACTACTGGATTTTACCCCCAGAAGTGTTTTCTAGGTGCATGTATATCCAAATATGACATTAAGACATTTTTTAGCCAGACCAGCATAGCTCAGTGGTTGATCATAGTAGATCTATGAGGTCACCGTTTAATTCTCAGTCAGGGCACAAGCATAGGCTGTCGGCTTGAGCATGCAGGAGGCAGCCAATCAATGATTCTCTCTCATCACTGATGTTTCTATCTCTCTCTCCCTCTCCCATCCTCTCTAAAATCAATAAAAAAAATTTTTTAATCTTTTTTACATAAACTTACTATGGAAATATATCCAAAACAAGATAAGGAATGCAACCAATGTCTGCCTCCTTTTCAAACCAGAGTTCCTCAATCCAAAAACATCAAATGATCAATCATTCAATATCAAAGTACATTTTTTAGCTACGAAGTTGCATAAAAAGTATGAAGACATTATAGCTTCCTAAGAATAAGTAGTGGCAAAAACTCTGCAATTAAGTTATGAAACCTTAACTCCTAGGAATATGCTTCCCACCTCCTTCCTTGCCCTTTTGAAAGTCCCTACCATCATACAATTCATAGCTTCAACTGGATTAGAATACCTTCAAGGATAGAGGCCATATATTATTCATCTTTTTATCCCCTGAATCGAATTAACTCAATATTTGTTATAACTAAGATAAATTTCAGGAAATGAGCCTCATTTCCAATACAAAACTGGAAAGATAGAAGTTTGAAAATAAAGATAACTAAAAGGAATAAATTTATAAACATTTGTGCTGTATTATATTCTCTTACCACCTAATTCAGAATCACATACTAACACTGCAGAAATAAGTATGCAAAGAAATAAAAATAATTAAAAACATGGATCTTCAAGTTCTCCTTACTGTCAGCATGCTCAAATAAAGTCACAGAATCTTTCATCTTTTCAACTCATAACAGCATACTCACTCCCAAACAAAACTAGAAAAAAAAGGCTTTCAAATGAGACCTGGATATAAATTGGTTCTATTTCATTACAATTTAAGTTCCTGAAATTGTATGCATAACTTGTGTGATTATTCTTATGCTCATTTTCTACAGTTGAGCAAGGGTCTTACACCAGATTCTCAGAAGGGTAAGTGTCCCAAAAAAACTTTAAGAACCACTGATCTGGCACATCAAAACATTCAAACTTCATGCCCTGACCGGTTTGGCTCAGTGGATAGAGCGTCAGCCTGCAGACTGAAGGGTCCCAGGTTCGATTCTAGTCAGGGGCATGTACCTTGGTTGCAGGCACATCCCCAGTAGGGAGTGTGCAGGAGGCAGCTGATCGATGTTTCCAACTCTCTATCCCTCTCCCTTCCTCTCTGTAAAAAATCAATAAAATACATTTTTTTAAAAATTCAAACTTCCAGAGAAATAAAATTAAGTTGGCTTTATTCAAGTCATATTCATAAAGGAGATCCTTACTATAAATTAGCCTTTCGAAGAATTCCTTCAGCCTAGCCAAGGTTTCAATAGCCACAGGCACACATAACAACAATTCCAAGATCCCCCAAATAGTTTACTCACAAATGCCCCCCCCCCCAAAAAAAAGCAAAAGACGACACACTCTATCACAACCTGGCTACCTACCCCGTTAAGAGTCTTAATTAAAAATACACTTCTATCCTTTCATATTAAAATGTCTGGAAGATCTAAATACCCTCCAAACCGAATAGATTTTTTTAGGAAGGTTTTCTAGTTTCAATTCCACACTGACTTGTTTGCCTCGCTCAAGTTAATATATATCTCTGTCAAGACAAGTCCCCCTTCATATGTACTCAGGCTGTTTCAACAGGGTCACCTCGATTATTCTCAGCCTAAGGCAGGACAATTTATTAAGAAGTTATTAGATAAATATTTGTTGACTGAATGAAAGATCCTTCCTCCCAAAGATTTAAAGTTAAGCTGTCAAAATAAAAATTAAGCTGTCAGACCCCATGCAGCTGCTCTGGTACAAGTTATGCTATGAAAGATCCCTCTCTCAAACACACAAGCCTAACTGTCAAAAATGCTCTGCTTCCCCCATAAACAAAAAATAATAGTCATGGATACACATTTTCATACAGGTCAACCTGAGCAAGGACAACATACATTCCATATACATGTCTGACACAATTGATCGGTACCAAATATATTATCCAACCAGTCACATATGCCCCTATCTTTCCAATAAACTCAAGATTTGCCTGTCAAAGACCTTCAGAGGCTCCATTCATTGTATGATGGAAATACTACTTGAGTAGCGGTCAAACCATTGAATTATAATCCCAACTTTGTCCCCAACTTAACTTGTGACCTTGGAAAAATTATCTCGTTATGCCTCAATTTCCTATTCTGTCAAATAGGAGAAAACATCTATCCTACCATTTTCACAGGGCTTTAGGATCACACACACACACACACACACACACACACTGCAAGTGCAGTCTGAAAAATACAAATGCTTTACTCTATTATAAAGTGTTGATATAAACTCAGGTCTGCAAAAAGGCCAAGCATTCTTATACCCTCACAATAATTGTGCTGTTAAAGATGGTCTGGGCCCTCGCATTTACACGATGCACTCTATTAGAGAAACCAACTATTCCCAAGACCACACCTGGCTCTGACAGGCTTCTCCCATCCCTGACCCCAACACACACACACACACACACACACACACACACACACACACACTACCTAGTGTGTCTACAATACTACTGCCCTGACTGCTCTTCCCCAACAAGTAATAACGCACTCGCTCCCAAACCCTAAAATACACACGCATGTCACTCAGCAGGGAACAACATCCCACGTTTTATTTTTAAAATAAGCTAACTTATAGGGGAACTCCATTACCCTTATACAAATACAAGCAAACTCTTCCGGAACACTTTCCTTCCTTACACACACACACACACACACACACAGCCGCTCTATACCAACAGACCATCTGTCTTCTAGACCAAAAACATGTCTTTCCATGTACAAACTAACCAGTAACATTTATTCAACTTAGAACCCTGAGATCGTTCTGTCGTTCGCTGCATGCAGTTCAGCGGGTCAGGAGCACAACAGACCTGACCGTGCAGGCAAACTACCCTCCGAAGATCACTTCTCCGGCCACTCTCCTCCCCGTAACAGACGGAGCCCGGACCCGGGGGGATGCTCCCATCCGGCCCACGCCACACGCGAAATAAACCTGTCAGGGACACGGGCGACTCCGCCTCCGCTGGCTGACTTTCCCGCCCCCCGGCCCCGCGCCAGGAGCCCGCCAGTGAGGGACACCCCTTCGGCCCCGCCAGGAGGGACTTCCCGATGAGCTCAGGATCCCCTGCCCGGCGCTCCCCTCCCCCATTCCCGCCGCCGCTCTCCCGGAGGCGCGGGTCCGGGAGATGACAGGAGCGCCCCGGCAGCCAAGGGCTGAGGAGCGGAGGAACGACTTAGGCCCCAAGGCCTCCCCCGGCGGTTCTACTCACCGTGTCAGAGGCCGAGGCCCAGCGATGAGAGTGCAGGGAAGTGGGGAAGAGGGGACGGCCGCCACCAGGCTCCTCCGCTTCCCCGGGTCCACAGCGGATCCCTCTCGCTTGTCAAGAGGCGGCCGGCGGGGGAGCGGACTGGCGGAGACGGGAGAGAGGAGAAGAGAAAGGCGTGGGGCTAAAGCTGGAGAAACTAAGGGGAGGTGGGTCCCGCAACCGAGACGGGGATCGTCTCCCCCTCCGCCAAGCGAACCCAAAATGGCGGCGGAGTGGCGGCGGCAGAGCGGCGGCGGCAGCTCCTCGGGAGGGAGGGAGGGAGCGAAGGGCGCCTCGTACCCCCCCACCTCCCACTCCTCCCTCTTGGCTTTCTCCACCCCCCCTCGCCCGACTCCGGCGGCGCAGCGCGCACGCCCGCCCACAAGCGCCGGAGTGGAGCTGGGCTCGTCGCTCGCGGCTCCCACCAACCACCACCCTCGGCCGCCCGGCGCGCCCGCCAGCCCGGACGCGCTCGCTCCAGGGCGCCTCCTCGCCCCGCTCCCGGCCTCCCCGCGGCCCCTGTGGAGCCGGCGCTGGCGCGGCCCTCACGCGTACCTCCAGCGGCGCGAGCCCCAGCCGCCTCCTCCTCGGGCTCCTCTTCTTCCCTCCCCCCTTCCCCGCCCCCACTGCCACCAACAGCCGCCGCGGCCGCCGCCGCCTCCTCCTCGCCCCCCCCCCACATTCCCTCCACCCCTCGCGCGTGCGTCTCCCACAATCCCCCCCGCGGGCCTGTTCCATTCTGGTAGCTGCGGGGCGGGGAGACGAGGGCGGCGGGCACGGGCGGAGCAGGCCGTTGTAACCGGACCCACCCGCGCGGCGGACGGTGGGCTGTGCCGACTGACTCCCTGGCCACGGCTCCGCGGCGGCCGGGGTCGCTTCTCCCCTCCGCTTCGAGCGCCGGCGAGTGGGTGAGGGGCAGCGGGGCGCCCCTCCGCCGGGCGGCGGTTGGAGGCCGCGGCGGCTGCGCGGTGAGCAGTTTCCTGCTGGAGGGGCCGAGCGGGGTGCTCCGCGGTGGGGCCGGCTGTGTGCAGCCCGCCGAGCTCCGCTGTGGACTGACCTCGTCGGGAGGACCGGTCCGCGCCCGCCGGTGACGGAGGGACCCTGCGCGGGGGTTTGCCCACGAGGGGAGGCAGCGGGACTGCGCGCTCCCAGGAGGTAGGAAGTGGGGCCGAGCAGGGCCGGCGACCTTCCTGGGGGACGTGTTTCTGGGCTCATGGTTGTGGACTTGGGACCCAAAGAAAAACGCGCGCCGTGGTCGTCTTTCTCTCTTTCTAAACCCCGCTAAGATTTCTCGAATCTCACACACTGCGGTCTTTTTGTGCACGATTCCTTCCTTCTGAGAGGGTGATACATTTTCAACTTCACGTTAGGGCAGCGGTTCTCAACCTTCCTAATGCCGCGACCCTTTAATACAGTTCCTCATGTTGTGGTGACCCCCAACCATAAAGTTATTTTCGTTGCTACTTCATAACTGTAATGTTGCTGCTGTTATGAATCGTCATGTAAATATCTGATAGGCAGGATGTCTTTTCGTTGTTCGCGACCCACAAGTTGAGAACCGCTGTGTTAGGGGATAAAGAAACCATGTATGTCTGGTTCGGTTCTGGGCCCGATCTTCCGCGGCTTGTATGTCCTTCAGGAAGTTCTTTTCCTTCGCTCCATCTTAGAGAACGCAATTTAGGTCGAGTCGGAGTCGAATTCGCTCCGAGGCACAGGGAGGGGGCCGAGTATTCCGTTATCGTTCAGAGTACCGTTGATGTTGATAAGGTTTGTGGGTGTAATTGGTAGTTGTGTCTCCTTCTTCCAAATCATTGATAAAACTATGCAAAATTAGGCCTATCAGGTTTCTGTGGCTCCTAATACTTGCTTCTCAAAACTCTGTACCAACACTTAATCGGAATGATTGAATGCAGAACTCTGGACTATTAAAGCACACAGATAATCCCACAGCCTCTGCATTTCACCCACAGGGTAGAGCGGAACCAATGAGGAAAGGGATCTACGTAGGTTTCCCTTTTCTTCAACATCTGTGGGCTCCTAGGGACCTAGGGGACAGTTTGAAAATCTCAAAGGTCTAGTCAAGTCCAAGTAGACACGCCTAAATTTCACCCTTAATCATATTTCAATGTATGGATCAGGTTTTGATGGCTTGCTTTTTTTTTTTTTTAACTCAGTTTTAATCACCTAACTATATATTTGCTTTTCCTAAGTATGTCTCAAGTTCCAACTCTTTCATGGAGCCCACTTAAGTTTACCTTGATCTTTCTTTCTTTTTTTTAATATTATTTTTTATTGATTTCGAAGAGGAAGGGGGAGGGAGAAAGAGAGAGCTAGAAACATCAATAATGAGAGAGAATATTCCATCGGCTGCCTCCTACACGCAAGCCCAAAACCCGGCATGTGCCCTTGACCGGAATTGAACCTGGGACCCTTCAGTCCAAAGGCAGACGCTCTATCCACTGAGCCAAACCAACGAGGGCACATTGATCTTTCTTTAATTGTGTTTTATATGCAAGTGCCTTATCCTACCGACACGTTTTTAATTTGAGGGCAGGGACTATGGCTAGCATGTGAGTCATGGAAATGTTGACGTGAATGTTAGATACTTTAAACATGAGAAAGGAAAGAGAATTGGCATTATCTTGTATGTTCTTCAGAAAGGAGAACATGTGTTCCTGTTTAATCCTCATAATAAACAGCATGTGAGGTAGATCACCTTATCCCCATTAAAAGCCTGAGGCTCGGAGAAGTTCAGTAAGTTTATCTTTAGGCTTTAGTTTGTCTGTCTCTTAAAAACTTAAATTATTTCACTATACCACATTGCCTTCCTGGTAAAAGAATTTTACCATTTTATAAAGAAAGTTACTTATGGTCTCTGCCTTCATTTAGCTTTCAGTAACTGCACTAAGTTATGAATTGTCAGCTAAGTATAGGCAGATTCTATAGTACTCTGTTCTTTTGTGTATGCCCCAGGTGTTACCAGAGACTAAAATATAAAATAAAATGGCCTTCAGGCGGCTCTCATGGAGGCAGCTAGTTCGAGGCTGGGAAGCGCTGCCCAGAGGAGCGAACAATACAGTCAGGATGACTAAAGGTGATCCCAAGAAGCCAAGGGGCAAGATGTCTGCTTATGCCTTCTTTGTGCAGGCATGCAGAGAGGAACATAAGGAGAAAAACCCAGAAGTTCCAGTCAATTTTGTAGAAATGTCTAAGACATGCTCTGAAAGGTGGAAGACAATGTCGGCAAAAGAGAAATCTAAATTTGATGAGATGGCAAAGGCAGATAAAGTACACTGTGATCGGGAAATGAAGGATTATGGACCAGCTAAGGGAGGCAAGAAGAAGAAGGACCCAGAAGCCCACTGTCTGGATTTTTCCTTTTCTGCTCGGAATTCCGCCCCAAGATCAAATCCACAAATCCTGGAATTTCTATTGGAGATGTGGCAAAGAAGCTGGGCGAGATGTGGAATAACTTAAGTGACAGTGAAAAGCGGCCTTACAACAATAAGGCTGCAAAACTGAAGGGGAAGTATGAGAAGGGGGTCGCCGACTATAAGTCCAAAGGCAAGTTTGATGGCATAAAGGGTCCGCTACAGTTGCCCAGAAAAGGGTGGAAGAAGATGAAGAGGAGGAGGAGGAAGAGGATGAATAAACTTTATCTGTCTCCTTGTGAATACTTTATGTAGGGGAGCTCCGTAATTGACACAGCTCTTATTTGAGAGGTGTCTGTTGCCCTCATTAGGATTAATTACACAATTGGATCATGATCATATGTAGTCTCTCAAAGTGCTCTAGAAATTGTCAGTGGTTTACATGCAGTGGCCATGGCTGTCCAGAGCACCCAGAAACTGTATCAAAGTTATACATATTTCCAAACATTTTTAAAATGAAAAGGCTCTTGTGTTCTCCTCGCTCTGTGCACTTCGTTGTTGGTTTGACGGCATTTAAAGATGTTTCTGGCATTTTCTTTCTTCCTTCCCTTCCTTCCCTTCCTTCCCTTCCTTCCCTTCCTTCCCTTCCTCCCTTCCTTCCTTTCTTTCTTTAATCTGCAAGGTGGTGTTACCTATTTGGCTATTGGCTAGAAATCCTGAGTTCTCAACTGCACATATCTATAGTTTGTAAAAAGAACAAATAACCAAGACAAGCTCTTGATGCTCTTTGCTTGGCGTTGAGGCTGTGAGGAAGATGCCTTTTGGAGGGGCTGTAGCTCAGGGTGTGCACTGTGAGGCTGGACCTGTGGACACTGCAGTGGGCATCCATTTAGCTTTAGGTTGTCTTGTTTTTGTACATTGTGACATAGCATCCTGCCATTCTTAGCTGTGGAAAAAGGGGGGTCAGCTGGCACGAGAAGTATTTGGATCATTTTTAGTTGTGTGGTAGTTTTAAACTGTTTTAAAACAAACTACAACTCTTCATTGTCAACAGTGACAGTGCATCAATGAAAGTTCAAGAACATTCTGTACTAAACACAATTTGCAATATTTTGTTAATTTTTGTATGTTTAGAATGCTGAAATGTTTTGAAGTTAAATAAAAACAGTATCACATTTTTTAAAAAAATGGCTTTATTGAATGAGTGAACCAAGGAAGGTATGGAAGACAAAATAATGGTTCCTCCAAAGACAGTGATGGTGAACCTATGACATGCGTGTCAAAGGTGACACGCGAACTCATTTTTTTGGTTGATTTTTCTTTGTTAAATGGCATTTAAATATATAAAATAATATCAAAAATATAAATCTTTGTTTTACTATGGTTGTAAATATAAAAAAATTTCTATATGTGACATGGCACCAGAATTAAGTTAGGGTTTTTCAAAATGCTGACAAGCCGAGCTCAAAAGGTTCGCCATCACTGTCCAAAGATGTTCACGTCCTAATCCCTGGGACCTGTGAATATATCACATGACAAGAGTAAATTAAGTATGCAGATGGAATTGAGGTTGCTAATGAGCTGACCTTAAGTAGGGAGAATATCCCGGATTACTTGATAGGCTTACTGTAATTACAAAGTTCTGAAAAGTTGGAAGAGGGAGATAGAAGTGTCAAAATGATGCAATATCACAAAGACTTGACCAGCTATTGCAGCTTTTGAAGATGAAAGCGCAGGCTTTAAAAACTGAAAAAGTAAAAAAAAAAAAAAAATTAAAAATAGCACACACACACACACACACACACCCCTCAACAGATTCTCTACTAGAGCCTACAGAAAGAATACAAGCCTGCAGACACTTTGATTTTGGACGTCTAAACCACAGAAAGTGGCAAATTTGTGTTGTTTTATGTTGCTAAGTTTGTAGTAATTTGTTACAGCAGTAATAAGAAACTAATATAGAGCTCTAGCTGGTTTGGCTCAGTAGATAGAGGTTTGCCTGCGGACTAAAGGCTTCTGGGTTTGATTCTAGTCAAGGGCACATGCTCAGGTTGCAGGCTCCATCCCCAGAAGGGGGCGTGCAGGAGGCAGCCAATCAATGGTTCTCCCATCAAGGATGTTTCTGTCTCTCCCTCTCCCTTTCTCTCTGAAAACAATAAAAATATCTTTTTTTAAAAAAAAAAAAGAAACTAATATAGAAAAGGGAGCCAAATCATGACTAACCTCCCAAGTACTCTGATTTGGACTGTGATTTGTGCTTTAAGTGCGGTTGTGGTTTAACTGAAAGTTTTCTTTAAGCAAAGTTATAGGCACTCAAAGCTGCCTAGATTTCCAGTAGAGGCATACATTACACTTCACTTTATTGTGCTTCACTTTGTTGCATTTTATAGGTGTGTTTTTTTACAAATGGAAGGCAACACTGTCCACCAGCAAAAAGATTACAACTCACTTAACTGCAATACTCACTTTATTACAGTGATCTGGAACCAAACCCACAATATCTCCAGGGTCTATCTGTATTTCCCTATTGCTCTGCTTCTTCTGGCATCAGTCCTCAAGCTGTATGATATACTAGAGGCCCAATGCACGAAATTCATGAATGGGTAGGGTCCCTTGGCCTGGCCAGCAATCAGGGCCAATCTGTGGGACGACCGGCGGGGCGATTGGGAGGGCCCCGTTGGCACCTGCCTTGGCTGGCCTGGAGCCTGCAAGCTGGGGGCAGCACCTGCGTTGAGCTCTGCCCTCTGGTGGTCAGTGCACGTCATAGCAACCAGTCGTTCTGCCGTTCAGTCAATTTGCATATTAGGCTTTTATTATATAGGATGGGCTGTATCAGCCGTGGGCAAACTACGGCCCACGGGCCAGATCCGGCCCGTTTGAAATGAATAAAAATAAAAAATAAAAAGACCGTACCTTTTTATGTAATGATGTTTACTTTGAATTTATATTAGTTCACACAGACACTCCATCCATGCTTTTGTTCCAGCCCTCCGGTCCAGTTTAAGAACCCATTGTGGCCCTCGAGTCAAAAAGTTTGCCCACCCCTGGGCTATATGATATTACTGTCCAGCAGCAGGTCTTAGCTAAACTGCTCTCAGATCCCCCCCGCCTCCCTGCAATAGATGCAAATAAACATTTCGTGGTGCTTCCTTGCTGGGATGTTGTCTAAATGCAGTCTAGATAAATAGGAAAAGCTCTGTAATATAAACTTTAAAAATAAGACTTCAGATGTTAAAATAAATTTTTAAAGCCTTGGCTGTGGAGGTCAATTGGTTAGAGCATCATCTCAATATGCCAAGGTTTTCGGTTCGATCCCTCCTCAGGACACATATAAGAAGCAAGCAATGAATGCTTAAATAAGTGGAAAAACAAATTGATGTCTCTGTCTCTGCCTCTCTTTTTCTCTCTAAAATCAATAAATAAATTTTTGTTTTGTTTGTTAATCCTCACCACAAGATACTTTTTCTTTTGATTTTTAGAGAGAGTGGAAGGGAAGAAAGGTGGGAGGGCGGGGGGAGACACAATTGGTTGCCTCCCACACTCTTCCTTACTGGAGCTAGGGCTGAACCTGAGACGCAGGTATGTGCCCTTGACCTGAAATCAAACCTAAGACCCTTTGGTGCATGGGCTGATACTCTAACCACTGAGAACACAGGCCCAGGCAATCAATAAATTTTTTTTTCTTAAGGAATTTTTAAAGATAAAACTTACTGGTTAAGTTTATAACTAAATGTTTAAAATAGTGAATTTATTTAAAAATTTTTCTTAATAGAAGATATCAAACTGAAATAAGGTTCAAATTAATAAAATGAATTTTAATAATTCACTTATTCTTAGCTAAGATCAGAATCAACAAATAGCTGCACAAATAAGGGCCACCTAGGAAGAAATATGGTATAATGATGAAGAACGTCACTCAAGTCCAATAGCCATGTTTACATTCAAGCTTCTCCATTTTTTAACAGTACAGTGGTTTCCATGCCAGAAAAATTGTGATTTTGCAGCTCTTCCCATAAAGAGGTAAAATCTACTTCCCATCCTTTGAATCTGCAATAATATGTGACAGAAGACCATGCTGATTCTGAGCTAGGTTTGAAGAGGTCTCAAGTTATTTCAGGTCCCTTGGACCTCTGCCACTGCTATGACAAGTCCAGGATACACGGCTAGAGAATGAGAGACAGTGTAGAGCAGAGTCAGTCATCCCAGTGGAGGCCAACCTTGACCAGCCAGCCAACCTCTTTGGTGGTAAGACAGACAATTGGTGTGCAGCCAAGAGTGAGAACCATGCACAGATGTCAATGGTCAAGGAAATTTCAACCCATTTAACTAACATGTCTTTTGGGTACCATTATACCAATTAAATATGCAGTACATATTTCTCCAAAACAAATATTCATGTACCCATTAGCTAGCATTAGAAAGAGATCATTACCAATTTCTCTGTCTGCCTTGCCCCAGTCTTATCTCTTTACTTTCTCTTTAAGAGTAAGCATTATTCCAAATGATGTGCTTATTCTCTTTTTTTTTTTTTTTTTTAAATATATTTTATTGATTTTTCACAGAGAGAAAGGGAGAGAGATAGAGAGCCAGAAACATCGATGAGAGAGAAACATCGATCAGCTGCCTCCTGCACATCCCCCACTGGGGATGTGCCCGCAACCCAGGTACATGCCCTTGACCGGAATCGAACCTGGGACCCTTCAGTCCGCAGGCTGACGCTCTATCCACTGAGCCAAACCGGTTTCGGCTGATGTGCTTATTCTCTTGCTTTTTCCTTTCAATTTTACTAAATATGTATATACTAGAGGCCCAGTGCACAAAATTCGTGCACTCGAGGGGGGCGTCCCCCAGCCTGGCCTATGCCTTCTCACAGTGCGGGAGCCCCTCGATCGATTTCCCTAAAGAGGTAGGCCCCGCCCACCCACTGGGGCTCCTCGATGGATTGCCCCAAAGAGGTAGGCCAGAGCGGGGGCTCTCGCCTCCGCTGCTCCACGTGCACGCAGCCCCGCCCACCTACGTGTGCTCACCGCACACGCAGCCTCCTGGTGATGGATTGTTACAGCGTGAGGGCATCATGGCATGAGGACATGATGACCACATAGGCTTTTATTAGTATAGATTGATGAATTAAATCAAGTGATGAATTAAGCTTTGTATGTTTGATTTCTTTAATCCTCACCCAAGGATATTTTTTCCATTGATCTTTAAAGAGAGTGGAAGGGAGGATGGAGAGAGAGAGAGAGAGACACATCAACTGGTTGCCTTCTACACGCCCCCAGACTGGGACCAAGGATTGAACCTGCAACCCAGGCATGTACCCTTGTCCAGGAATTAAACCCAAACGCGAGACCCTTCAGTCCAAGGGCCAACGCTCTAACCACTGAGTAACCGGTCAGGGCAAGCTGTTTTGAATTTTATATGTTCTATTCCTGTATATAATAGTTAGATTACTCAATATTAGCTTTTTGTTTTGTTTTTTAATCCTCACCTCAGGATATTTTTTTTTAATATATTTTATTGATTTTTTACAGAGAGGAAGGGAGAGAGATAGAGAGTTAGAAACACTGATGAGAGAGACATCGATCAGCTGCCTCCTGCACACTCCCCACTGGGGATGTGCCTGCAACCAAGGTACATGCCCTTAACCGGAATCGAACCTGGGACCCTTGAGTCCGCAGGCCGATGCTCTATCCACTGAGCCAAACCAGTTAGGGCCAGGATATGTTTTTTATTGAAAGAGAAGAATGGAGAGAAAGAGAAGTATTAATCCGTTGCCTCCCGCTTTTACCCAACTGGGAATCGAACCCACAACCTTTTTGGTATACAGGACAATGCTCCAACCTGGACTAATATTGTCCAGGGCTCAATATTAGTTTTTGAGAGTCATACATGTAATGCATGTCACTGCAACTTACTCTTTTTATTTCTGTATGGATTTCCATTGTATGACCATATCTCTGTTTACTCACTCTTCTACCAATGGACATTTGGGCTTTTCACAATTTTTGATAATGCTTCATATTCTATTACTATGTCCATTGTTATAGATATTTTCCAGTGTACATGTATAAGTGTTTTTGTAGAATAAATACCAAAGAATAGAATACCTGGGTTTCAGACTTGTACATTTTCAACTTCACAAGATGATGCCAAATTTGTTTTTTAAGATATTTGTATTTACTCTCTCGTTGACAATGTATGAAAGTTCCTAGTGCTTCCTTCATGGCCTCTTTAACATTTGCTATTGTCTGATCTTTTCATTTTTCCCAAAATGGTGGTTGTGAATGATCTCATTGTGGTTGTTTTAATTTGTATTTCTCTGATTTGTAATGAGAATTCTCATGGGTTTACTATCCACCTGTATAAACTTTTCCGTGAAATGTCTGTCTGTGTCTTCTCATTTCTTATCTATTGTAGGCATTCTTTATGTATTCAGGATACTAATCCATTGTGCAAATGTCTTTTCCCAGTTCTGGCCGACCTTTCCACTTCTTCAAGAGTGTGGGGACAATGCTGAAAGGAGTGACAAGACTTGTCTCCAGGGTCCATAAGGTGAGTCCTAACTGACTTCAATGCTTTGTACAAACTGTCTGTAGGTGGACTTCTGTTTTTATATGGATTTACTATATCCAGAATTAAATCCTCTAGAGAACTTCAGCTGACTTTAATTTATAAGTTCACACTCAAAAGAACAGTTACAGTTCCATTTCCCTTCCCATTCACTTCATTCCCAGCTGCCCTAACAATCTTCAAGTAACAAGGTCTCCATAGAATAGTTCTGTTTGAGAATTTACCATGTCATAGGAGAAGTAACATTTTTTAAAAGATTGATTGCAGTTCTAACTTTTATTCGTATTCTCTAGTTGGATTATCATTTCTTAATAAAGTACTTAAAAAAAAATATGTTGCCAGTTTAGACCCTAAGTATCTGATAGTTGAATAAAATCATATATGAAAAAAACATTCTGTTGCTCTACTTCATTCTTTCATTTATTTAGCAAATAGTTTTCATTACTTTCCATATTGCAAGTACTGAGGATTTTCAGATTACTCATTTCACTAATGGTTACTATTTGTTGGGCATTCGTTATGTGCCAGGCACGGGGCTAATGCTTTACTTTTTTAGTTGTCATAATAACCCAGGAACTAGATGATACCTTTGTTTCACAGGTGCAGAAATTGAGGATTAGAAAGGCAAAGTAAGAGGCTGTGAAATTGCAGAGCCCAGACTAGGTACCATGTCTGTCTGACTTCAAAGCCTGTGGCCTCAACCACTGTGCTATAGTGCATGTTATAGTCCATGCAATTTAGGATCTCAAAGTCAGTAGTGGAATCATGAACAAATGGTTGTTGTAGTATGGTGCTGTTATTAAAGCACCCAGTAGGAGCACTTAACCTGGATTAGTAGGATCCAGAGGAAATCCTCCCAGAGCTGTATCCTGAAAAATGAGAACTGAGCCAGAAGGGCTTAGTCACTTCCATCTCATTGTCTAATTATTGCAGATTAGATTTCCTAGAAAAGCAGCCCTTCCTCCTGTAGAATTCATCTTTTTTCCAGGGGTTTGCCATAAACCTATGTACATCAAATGAAAATAAAAGCAAGGATCAACAGAGGAAGGATTCTGGTTTCAACATTTAAAAAGCTACAATTTCTTCTTCCAAAATGCAGAGATGTCTGAAGAAATTTTGTGCTTCACATAGATTGGTTTAGAGTAACTGTCTTGATTTGGCTCATGAGTGCTATTCTTAACTGCGTGATGTTCATTCTGGAACGGTGTAGAGGCTATTATACTTATAGTTGTTTTCCCTGGAAGCAACAGACTAGCTGGATGATGCCATATAGAATGCTGTGATAAGTAAGGAATCCATTTTGCTAGCTCTTAATTTGCTTCAAAAAGCAGTTAACAAAAGTCATAGAATTCTTGTAGAAATAGCACCACCTTGTGGTCCTTGAATATCTTAAATTTTCCACTTCACTATTTTTTAGAGTTGGTACTTTCTCTCCAGTAGAATTGACACTGTCCTGTCAATAGTAGGGTATACTATTCAGGTTGCTGTACTGAGGCAACAGACCCTGAATTCTCATTGGCTTAACACAACAAATGATGTTGTTTATCAAGATCTGTGCATGTGTTTTGTTTTGTTTTGTTTTTCCTGTTGCTGTATTTCCAGAGTGGTTTACAGGCACGTGTAGGAGGGGCTTGACATGGGATGAAGGTTCATCTTGGGATGCCACCTCAGCACATAGGTTGCCGTGACAGGGGAAGAAAGAGGATTTATAGTCACGCTAAGCTGACTGACTAGAAAAGACACAAATTATATTCATGTAGAGCTCATTTACGAGAATTAATAAAATAACCCCAATTTGCACAGGAGGCTGGGAAATATAGAGAATTTGGATATTTGATAAACATTGGAATCTGCAATCCTCAGACAAAGTTGGAGCAACTCTGTTACTTTATATTAAATCTATAAGTGCTGGTTTAAGAGGTTTCCGTATGCAGTTGAGTTGAATTAGTGCAATTTATTTTCACTTATCTAGATGCTTTACATACTCCCTGCTATATGTCTCCAATGAAAGGTTCTTTATTCCAGAGCGCAGTATGAAGTATTTGTGGTGTGTTACTTAGAGAAGGAAATACAAAGGTGAATAAAATCTGATCCATTCTCTTCCAAGTGTGTGTCCTAGAATGGGAGACAGACTTGTGTATAAGATAATCTACACTAATAAAAGAGAAACATGGTAATTGGCGTATGACCGCTACCCTTTTCATTGGCTAATCAGCGAGATATGCAAATTAACTGTCAGCCAAGATGGCAGCCGGCAGCCAGGCAGCTTGAAACTAACATGAGGCTTGCTTGCCTCAGTGACGGAGGAAACCAACATTCCCCGCCTGCGGCTGCTGGCCTCTGAGCGGGCAGTTTAAGAAACATTGTAAGCAAAGGCCAGAAACCTACTTTCAGCCGCAGAGGCCTAAGAGCTGGAGCCAAGCCTCAAGGTAAAGCTGGCCCAGAATAAAAAAAAAAGAAAAAAAGGAGCGGTTGGGAACTTCAGTCACTCCCAGCCTGAAAACAGCCCTCAGCCCCTCACCCAGACTGGCCAGGCACCCCAGTGGGGACCCCCACCCTGATCCAGGACACCCTTCAGGGCAAACCAGCCGGCCCCACCCATGCACCAGGCCTCTACCCTATATAGTAAAAGGGTAATATGCCTCCTGGCACCGGGATCAGCGTGACAGGGGGCAGCGCCCAAACCCCCTGATTGCCCTGCGGCTCTGTGTGTGACAGGGAGCGGGGCCCCAACCCCCTGAGCAGCCCTGCTCTGTGCCTGATAGGGGGGAGCTCCCCAACCCCCCCTCCCCCACGGGCCCTGCTCTGTGTGTGATGGGGTAGAGCCATAACCTCCCCATCGGCTCTGTGCGTGACAGGGGGTGGCGTCCCAACCTCCCCATCGACCCTGCCTTGAGTGTGACAGGGGATGGTGCCCCAACCCCCCAATTGGCCCTACCCTGAGCGTGACTGAGGGTGGCATCACAACCTCCCGATCTGCCCTTCTCTGTGCATACAGGGGGCGGCGCCCCAACTCCCCAATCGGCCCTGCTCTGAGCCCGACCAGGGGCTGCACCTAGGGATTGGGCCTGCCCTCTGCCACCCGGGAGCAGGCCTAAGCCAGCAGGTCGTTATCTCCCGAGGGGACCCAGACTGCGAGAGGGCACAGGCCGGGCTGAGGGACCCCCCCTCCCCCCCAAGTGCACAAATTTTTGTGCACCGGGCCTCTAGTATATAATAAAAAGAATAGGTTTTGTAGTCAGACAAACCTGAATTTGAATTCTGGCTTCACCACCTGCCAACTCTGACCTTAGACAGGATTAATTTCCCTGAATCTTGGTTTCCCTCATCATAAAACATGATATTATACCTATCTTCTAGGATTCTTGGCTCAGAAATGTGTTTAAAACTCTGTATTGCCTCACATCTAACAAGTATTCAGTTAACAAAAGCCGCGAATGCAGTTCAAGGCGGTGTAAAAATGCCATGGAAGCACTGGCCGGTGTGGCTCAGTTGGCTGAATGTTGTCTCTTATACAGGTCTGGTTGCTGGTTCAATTCCCAGTCAGGGCATGCAGGGGGCAGCCAATTGATGTTCCACTCTCACATCCATGTTTCTCTTTCTCCCTCTCTCTAAAAATCAATAAAAATATATATTTTTTTAAAGAACCTATTGCCCTGTCCAGTTTTTCTCAGTGGAGAACAAAGGGTCACGAGTTTGATTCCAGGTCAAGGGTACATACCTCACTTGAAGTTTCAATCCTCAGCTTGGGGGTTGTGCAGGAGGCAACCAGTCCATGTGTGTCTCTCACATCAATGTTTTCTCTCTCTCTCTCTCTTTCTTTCTTTGCACCCCTCCCTTTCACTCTCTTTAAAAATTAATGGGACAATATCCTTGGGTGAAAATTTAATATATATATATATATATATATATATATATATATATATATTTTTTTTTTTTTTTTTTAATGCCATGCAAGACAAAGTGTTATCAGCAGAGAGGGAAAATAATTACTTTTGACTGGAGGTATCTGGAAAAACTTCACAGAGGTTGTGACATTTGAGATGAGTCTTAAAGGAGGAGTAAGATTTCAATAGGGAGAGAGGGAAGTTGAAGTAGAATGAGCAGTATAGAAGTATCAAAGTGAGTAACATGGTCATAGGCTCGAATATGGAGCTCACACAGGAATGAGACTAGAGCGGTCCGTTGAAGTCATGGCCTTGATTACCATGCTAAGGACTTTGGGGCTTATTTTGGCATTAATAGGAAACCAAACTTTATTTATAGATTTATTTATATCTATATATATATATATATAGATTGATTTCAGAGAGGAAGGAAGAGGGGGAGTTAAAAACATCAGTGATGAGAGAGAACTATTGATTAGCTGCCTCCTGCACTCCCCCCACTGGGGATGGAGCCTGAAACCCAGGCATGTCCCCTTGACCGGAATCGAACCTGGGACCCTTCAGTCTGATTAGAAGAAGGTTAAACTTACTATTTGGGAGGACAAGTCTTTTACACTATGAAAGATGAAGAATCAAAGATTTAGAGGTAAAGATAACCAATTAGAAAGTTGTTATTGAGTTTAAGGTCTTTTTAAGTGGATGTAAGTGTTATGAGGGCTGGTACAAAAATAACACATTTTCTGCACTCATGAGGCTGCTTGGTAAGACTAAATAGAAATACAGGCAGTTTTTATGTTACCTGTTGATTTATCGGGTATCTTCCTTACTGCAGCCATCTTTCATATCTGCTTCTGCTGATTTCCTATCCTAATCTTTCCCTTGTAACTGGCATCTTTTCACTCCTACATAAGCCTATTATCCTCAAACTCAGTTTGGGGGTTCTCCAGTTAGCATTTTGCCAGATTTGTCTCCTGAATCATCCTCTCTCTGCACTCCATCCCCCCAACCTCTTCCTAGTTCAGAGGTTTCCACATGCAGTTCACTGAATTTAGCATTATCTTTTCACTTACCTAGATGCTCCCTCATTCTTTTATCAATAAAGGTTCTTTATTCCAGGACACAGCTGGCAAGAAAATTGTGGAGGGTATAATTATACCTACCAAATAGGAACATTGCACTAATCCCCTAATTACTGAAGTGATTACGATTACTGGACAGACAGCTGAGAATTGAACAGTACTAGCCACCGTTCATCATTGTGGGCAAGAGCATTAAAAGAAGGTTCCTGCTTCAGGTTAATGGCTGTACTATGTTCCTGAACAATCTCTAATGGAATTATTTGTTTCCATTTGGGACAGAGCCCTGGTATCCTATATAATAAAAGCCTAATATGCCAAGTGTTCAGTCGTCCATTCAACCAATCAAAGCGTAATATGCTAATGATATGCTAAGTCTGCTCAACCACTCTCTATACATGTACTGATCATCAGGGGGCAGACACTCCAACCAGTAGGTTAGCTTGCTGCTGGGGTCCGGCCGATTGGGACTGAGTGAGATGGGCCAGACATGCCCTGGAGCCCTCCTGCAGTCCCTCCCTGGCTGGCCAACCTCCTGCGTCCCTCCCCGACCCTGTTTGTGCACCAGTGGGGTCTCTCAGCCTGGCCTGCACCCTCTTGCAATCTGGGGGTGCACTGTCTGTCAGGTAGTCCCATCTACACTAATAAAAGAGAAAAATGGTAATTGGCGTACGACGCTACCCTTTTCATTGGCTAATCAGGGCTATATGCAAATTAACTGCCAACTAGATGGCGGCTAATTTGCATATGTAGGCACAATGCAGGGAGGCAAAAGGGAAAGCAGGAAGAAGCCCCCTGACACTGACAGTGATCTGAAACCCAGGGGGGAGCTAAGAGCTGGGGGGCAGGGCAAAGGCGGCCCTGGGGCCACCTTTGCCCTGCCCCCCAGCCATGATCAGAGAATCAGGCGCCTTTGCCGCCCTGGCCAGTGATAGCAGGAAGTAGGGGTGGAGCCAGCGATGGGAGCTGGGCACTGTCGAAGCTGGCAGTCCCAGGAGCTAGGGGTCCCTTGCCTGGGCCTAAAACGAAGCCCACGATCGCGGCGCCCCCCGCTGCCACTGCAGGTCCCCGCTGCCTGGGCCGGACGCCTAGGCCAGAGGCGTTAGGCCTGGGCAGGGGCGGAGCCTGCAACCGCGGGGAGCTGGGGGTCCCCTGCCCAGGCCTGACACCTCTGCTGGAGGCCTCAGGTCTGGTCAAGGGGCCGATCCGGTGATTGGTGATCGGAGGGTGATGAGGGTCAACTCCTCTGGCCAAGGCATCAGGCCTGGGTGGGGGGCGGAGCTGGGGATTGGGGGGATATGATGGTCCCCTTGCCCAGGCCTGAAGCCTGGGTCAGAGGCGTCAGGCTTGGGCGGGGGGTGGAGCAAGCGATCAGAGGGAGATGGGGGTCCCCTGCCCAGGCATGATTCCTGGGCCAGAGGCCTCAGGCCTGGGCGGGGGCCAGAGCCAGTGAACGGGGGGAGATGGGGGGCCCCTGTCCAAGCCTGACACCTCTGGCGGAGGCGTCAGGCCTGGGCAAGGGGCCGATCAGGCGATCGGAGGGTGATGGGGGTCAACGCCTGAGGGCTCCCAGTATGTGAGAGGGGGCAGGCTGGGCTGAGGGACACTCCTCCACACACACACACACACACACACACACACACACACACACACACACCCAGTGCACGAATTTCATGCACCGGGCCCCTAGTCTATATAATAAAAGCCTAAGCGACCGTTATGGTGGAACAATCAGAACGACCAGTCACTATGATGTGTACTGACCACCCAGGGGCAGACGCTCAATGTAGGAGCTGCCCCCTCGTGGTCAGCGTGCTCCCACAAGGGGAGCACTGCTCAGCCAGAAGCCAGGCTCACGGCTGGCAAGCAGCAGCGATGGCAGGAGCCTCTCTAAGGAGCTCTAAGGAGCAGCGAGCCAAACGGTAAGGAGCAAGGGTCCTGGACTGTGAAAGGGATGTCTGAGGGGTCCCGGACAGCAAGAGGGCACAGGCCAGGCTGAGGGCCCCCGCCCCCATCCCCTCCCCCCAGTGCATGAATTTCATGCACTGGGCCTCTAGTAGCAACATAAGCTGAAATAGATTCAGAGCCAGAGTAATGTGATTATACTTAGAGAATTACAATAAGTACAAGGATCCTCATTTTACATAAAAATAAAATGTATGTTAGTGGCATTTTTCCCTGTTGCAGATATTGCTTAAAAACTAAGTGTGGTAGCAAGCATAAACTTTATAATTACAAAACACTAGCCCTAACCAGTTTGGCTCAGTGGATAGAGCGTCGGCTTAAGGACTGAAAGGTCCCAGGTTCGATTCTGGTCAAGAGCATGTACCTTGGTTGTGGGCACATCCCCAGTAGGAGGTGTGCAGGAGGCAGCTGATCGATGTTTCTCTCTAATTGATGTTTCTAACTATCCCTCTCCCTTCCTCTCTGTAAAAAAATTCAATAAAATATATTTTTTTTAAAATTACAAAACACTAACATGGTTTCTTTTCTAGTTGGACCCTGGACATTTTTTGCGCCTGGGGACCCAGGCACCCCAGAGCCTTGCTGCTCACCTGGATAACCAGGTTTCATTTGAGAGTCCTAGAGCTATTTCCTGCACCAGTGAGAATGACCCGGTGAGTTGCTAATATGTATATGAATTTTTTTCAGTGCTTATAATCTCTACTGCTGTCATTTTACATATCAAGAAAATGTACATGTAGTCAGACAATGCACCCAAGACAGTATTCTGGAACCCAGATCATCCCCATCCCCCTGTCTGGTATTATAACACTAGAGGCCCGGTGCACAATTTCGTGCTTGGGTAGGGTCCCTCAGCCTGGCTGGTGATCGAGGCCTATGGGGGGGAGGGGGGGGGACAACCAGGGAGGGGAGGGGTTTCAGGAGGTTGGCTAAGGGAGCGCACTGACCACCAGGGGGCAGCTCCTGTGTTGAATATCTGCCCCCTGGTGGTCAGTGCACATCATAGCAACTGGTTGACCAGTCGTTCTGGTCGTACCAGTAGTTTGGCTATAGCAGTCTCTTAGGCTTTTATATCTACACTAATAAAAGACAAAGATGCAAATTGACCATACTTTTGCTACGCTCTAAGCCACGCCCACCAGCCAATCAGAGCAACTATATGCAAATTAACCCAACCAAGATGGCGGTCAGCAGCCACGGAGCTGGAGCAAGCAGGAAGTTTGGTTGCCCCAGCAATGGAGGAAGCCAAGCTTCCCGCCTGCTTTGAGCTGGCTGTAGACTCCGCTTATTGGCAACAAAGTTTCAATTATAGAAGACAAATAAATCCCAGATACCTGCTTCCAGCCAGCCTCCACTGAGAGCTTGGGTGGCTGAGGACCGTGGCCAGCCTGCAAATAGCCATCAGCCCCTCACCCAGGATGGCCACACCCTCATGGGGTGAGAGTCCCCGCTGGGGGGCTTAGCCAGCCTGAAAATGGCCCTCAGCCCCTCACCCAGACTGGCCAGGCACCGCAGCAGGACCCCCCGACCCTGAGGTGGCTCTGGCCAGCCTGCAAATGACCTTCAGCCCCTCACCCAGACTGGCCAGGCACCCCAGTGGGGACGCCCACACTGAAGGGGCTGTGGCCAGCCTGCAAACAGCCATCAGCCACTCACCCAGACTGGCCAGGCACTCCAGTGGGACCCCCCCCACCCTGAAAGGGGTGTGGCCAGCCTGAAAACGGCCCTCAGCCCCTCACCCAGGCTGGCCAGGCACCCCAGCGGGACCCCCACCCTGATCCAGGACACCCTTCAGGGAAAACAGGCCGGCCCCCACCCATGCACCAGGCCTCTATCCTATATAATAAAAGGATAATATGCAAACTGACTGGGAATGACTGGTCACTATGACACACACTGACCACCAGGGGGCAGACACTCAATGCAGGAGCTGCCCCCTGGTGGTCAGTGCGCTCCCACAGGGGGAGCTCTGCTCAGCCACAAGCCAGGCTGACGGCTGCCAGTACAGCAGTGGTGGTGGGAGCGTCTCCCACCTCAGCAGCAGTGCTAAGGATGTCCGACTGCAGCTTAGGCCTGCTCCCCACTGGCAAGTGGACATTCCCCGAGGGCTCCCGGGCTGCCAGAGGGATGTCTGACTGCCAGCTTAGGCCCAATCCCCCAGGGAGCGGGCTTAAGCCAGCAGGTGGTCATCCCCCTGAAGGGTCCCAGACTGTGAGAGGGCACAGGCTGGGCTGAGGGACCCCTCTCCCCCTGAGTGCACAAATTTTTGTGCACCAGGACTCTAGTATATAGATAAAACACTTAGGCAGGTCAGTCCACATTTGTTCTCATTTAATCCTGCCATTGAATTCATCTTATGCCAAGGATTTTGCTGGGGATAGAGCAGGCACATAGTAAATACTTAAGTCAATTCCTCAGAAGTTAAATTTAGCAGATATTATTGATCTTACTGTATGATGGGTTGACAAACATTTTCCATAAAGGACCAGATAGTAAAATTTTAAGCTTATGATCCACAGTGGTCTCTGTCACAACTGTTTAGTTCTGTTATAAACAAATGGAAATGGTATGTTCCAATAAAACTTTATTTTAAAAACGATAGTCAACCATAGTATAGACTGGTATGCAAAATTCTAAAGAAGTCAACTTAACTTGTCCAAGAAAACAGCAGAGCAGTTACAGAACCTAGTTTTCCTAATAACCCAGCAGTGGGCAAACTACGGCCTGCGGGCCGAATCCAGCCCGTTTGAAATGAATAAAACTAAAAAAAAAAAAAAGACCGTACCCTTTTATATAATGATGTTTACTTTGAATTTATATTAGTTCACACAAACACTCCATCCATGCTTTTGTTCCGGCCCTCTGGTCCAGTTTAAGAACACATTGTGGCCCTCGAGTCAAAAAGTTTGCCCACCCCTGTAATAACCCATCTGGGACTATTTTCTATCTGTTTTTCTAAGTGGATTTCCTAGTTCTAGAGAAGGAAGCAACTTGACTTGTTGAGAAGAGCTGCATTTAAAATGAAGTTTGTCAGCAGAAGCTAGGATTACAGTGGTATCCAGTGTTGTATTTTCTGCTTCAGATCCCATTAGACTAGATGTTGATTTCTTTTTCTCCTTCCCCAGCATTATTGCTGCCTCTCATAAATGAAGTTAATTGTAAGGTCTGTGATTAAATGTGAAGAAAACCAATAGCTTTTGTTTGTTTGTTTTCCTACTCTCTGAGTTTCCCCATCTTAACATATGCTTCTGTGCATGTGGGAGGAAAAAAAATAATTCATTACCCAAAACACTATCTCAGCAGGGTATGTTTTATTTATATCTCCAGTGTTCACCTACTTTCAAAAGCACAAAATGAAATAGAATAAGTGAATGAAATCATCAAAGTGCCATTCCCTGTGAATATAGTCTCTTCATCTGCCAATTCCTCTAGAGTTTCTATGGAAACAGCAGCATGCAGATGATCTTGTCACATGACTAGATCATCTCTATACACAGCACAGAAGAATCCAGATGGCAAGAATTGTCACTGCTACCTCCACATCTAGGGTTTACGTTGCTGGGCAACTGGTTTCATCATTCAGGCCAACCCCAGCTGTATATACACACTGGATTTGGGGACAACAACTAGCATATTTTTTATTTAAGATAAGAAATGAAAGATATGCTTTTCAATTCTGAGAGATGAATGTTTCCTCAGTATTGTTTATCAGGCCCCTTCCACTTTTCAAAGACTTTGTCACTTTGTCTACAGCCCCATTATATCTGTTTGCATTTTTATTTCATAGGCCAAGCATGAGGAGAAGCATGAGGGTCAGCACTACAACTTACCCCTCCAGGATATGAAGACTATATTCCCCCATGGCCTGCCTCCTCGATATGCAATGCAGGTGCTCAGAACAGGGGAGGGAATTGGAGGGAGCCCAGAACACAAGCTGTTTGTACCAAAGTGATGTGATGAAATGAATAGAAAACTATAAAAAAATGAAACTTGAATCTTAAAACAATAGATGAATTCATCTTTTGTTAATGATGCTATTACTTTAAGCCAATGTTTATCTGTGTTTAACTGATTAAAATCCTTTTTGGGGGCAGGCAAAATATTCTTTTTTTTTTAATGCTCACACAAGGATATTTTTCCATTGATTTTTAGAGAAAGTGGAAAAGAGAGGGAAAGACAGAGAGAAATATCAGTGTTAGAGAAACACATTGGTTGGTTGCCTCCTGCATAAGTCCCAACCAGATCCCAGGCCAGGAAGGAACCTACAACCAAGGTACATGACCTTGACCAGAACTGAACCTGGGACCCTTCAGTCTGCAAGACGATGCCCTACTGAGCCAAACTGACTAGGGCCAAAATATTCTTAAACAAATAAACAATATTCTGCTATTTTCCTTACCTAACAGGTTTTGGGAAATTTGAATATTTAAATAGTTGTTAAAAAAATGGATTTAATATTTTCCTTAGAAAAGTATCCTGAAAATAGTTAATATGCTATAGAAAAACAAAATTATAATGTATTCCTAAGACATATAGAAATTATGTTTGGATTAGATGTATCATGTTCTTCAATTTCACAAATTTTCAGAAAATTCTAGATTTGTGGTCATAACTTAAACCCAAAGAGTTGCTTGGGTTGTGTTGTAGCCAATAAAGAATTCATGATCACACTGGCTGGTGTGGTTCAGTGGTTGGAGTGTCAGCCCTCACACCCAAGGGTCTTTCTTGGGTTTGATTCCCAGTCAAGGGCATATACATGGGTTGCAGGTTCCATCCCCAGCCCTGGTTGGGTTGTGTTCGGGAGGCAACCTATCGATGTGTGTCTCACATCAATGTTTCTCTCTCCCTCGCCCTCTCTCCATCCCTCCCTTCCACTTCTAAAAAAAATTTAATGGAAAATATATTCTGGGGTGAGGATTAACCAAAAAAAAAAATCATGAATAACTGCAAGCATATTTTGTTGACATGATTGGTTCTTTTTGCTAACTCCTGCTGAATTATTTTCAGCCTCAGAAATTATTCCTTGTTGTTGTTGTTGTTAATCCTGACTGAGGATATTTTTTTCCATTGACTTTTTAAAAACATATTTTTATTGATTTCAGAGAGGAAGGGAGATGGGGAGAGCTATAGAAAGAAACATCAATGATGAGAGAAAATCATTGATCAGCTGCCTCTTGCACGCCCCCTACTGGGGATGGAGCCTGCTACCTGGGCATATGCCCTGACTGGGAATCAAATGGTGAGCTCCTGATTCATAGGTCAACACTTAACCACTGAGCCATGCTAGAAGTAGCATTAAGTAGCATTTTATATGCTTTTAGTATTTACATCAACTCTAAGTGGAATACCTACCGGTAGTTGTGTGATGTCTGTATTATTTGTAGATTTCAATTAACTGATGCAATATCTGTACTTCATAACAGATACAGTCAAAAGCTGACTCTTACGTTAGTTGGTGTGAGATCATGTGTTTCAGTTTTTAGCTAAATTATCATATACGGATATATTTTCAAAATCAGAATCAACTCAACCCCTCCTAACTGCATAAATTAAAAATATACAATTTGTTGCTATATTGGGCTCAGTGTGCATACCAAGAACAGGTTAGAAGTTCCACACCCACTCTCTCCTTTCTCCTTCCCTGTTTTATTAGATGAAGACATTCAATGAAGCTTGCCTGATGGTAAGGAAACCAGCCCTAGAGCTTCTGCATTACCTGAAAAACACCAATTTTGCTCATCCAGCTGTACGATATGTTCTGTGTATCCTTTCCTGCCTACATGGGCTGTCTTAAGCCAGTGCTTTCCTCCCTCAAATGTGAGAAAAGAAATGCAAGTGTACCCTTTGTTAGCAGAAGTGTTCCTTCTGGTAATGTTTTCTTTAACAGCAAGTGCTTTAGATGGGGAAAAAGGAACAGGAAAAACACTCAGTCTTTGCCATATTATTCATTTCTGTGCAAAACAGGACTGGCTGATACTGCATATTCCAGATGGTAAGAACTTCTGTCTTCACTGTACGGGTTTGTTATCCTGTTGCTGTGGGAGCGTTGTGGCTTTAACTTTCGGACAGGGCTCTCTGATGGCTACAGGAGAGGCCTTTGCTCCAGGTACAGACTCATCTAAACTAGTTCATAATTTCTTCATATTACTGACAAGCAAGGTGCAAGGTGAAGTAAATGCAACAAGAAATTCAGCTGCCCGGCCAGTGTGGGTCACTGGTTGACTCATGCACCAGGAGGTCACGTGCCCTGGTTGCACACTCAATACCCAGCAGGGGGCCTGCAGGAGGCAGCCCATTGATGTTGATGTTTCTCTCTCATCCATGTTTCTGTCTACCTCTCTCTTCCTCTCTATCTAAAAGCAATAAAAACCTATTTTTTAAAAAGAAGAAGAAATTCAGCTGAAAGCTTCCTGGAACCTTTTGATAATAAGAATGAACTACTTTGGCCCAGCAGTCCTCACTTTGATATGTGATGCCCAAGAGCATAAACTCCTACCTTAGAGGTCATCACAGGCATTAGGCCATCATATCCAGAGAAACTGACATGGTACTGGTAATCAGCATTCTAGAGTTTAAAACGTAAACTCTCGTTCTTTGTACATATCCTTCCTTGTTGTGTTTGTGCATCCACACACTATGACTATCTCTAGAAACTACCAGGAAGCTGAGGTGACCGTTAATTCACTTGGCATGCCGTGTGTGTTGAGTGTAATGATAATGTTTAATCTAAAATAAACCTTGGAAACAAGGCTTTAAGAAATATATAGGACACTAAAGTCATTCCCCATGACTTACAGTTAATAGAGTATTTTGTGTTGTATACAGTTAATTCCTGCCTACTTTGTTCTCTGTGCCCCTCGCCCCCCTTTTTGTAGCTCATCTTTGGGTGAAAGACTGCCGGGATCTTCTGCAGTCCTCCTACAACAAGCAGCGCTTTGATCAACCTTTAGAGGCTTCGGTCTGGCTGAAGAATTTCAAAACTACAAATGAGCGTTTCTTGAATCAGGTGATGAGACTCCCAGAAGTTTGGTGCTAGCCATTCTTTAAATAGATTGTATCTCCTTTGTGCCCCAAGTACCAGTAGACTGGAGAACTAGTATCATGGTTGAGATAACTATACCGTTTTCTACTTCTTGCATATATAGTATTTTACTCACAGTGAGCTCACAATCTGAAACTCATTCCCATAGAGCCATCAGTAGGTTGTTCCCTTCTTGTGGGTAGCAAATTGAAGTTCAAATTAATTAACTGACTTTTTCAAGGTCACAGGCTCAGATTCTCTAAAGCATATTCTAACTACATAATTTTCTCCAGATAAAATCTTTTTTGGAACCAGAAATGTATTGGTAAAATTACTCTTTATTCTAGTAATTCTTGAATATGATCTCTAGGCCAGAGGTTTTCAAACCTAGATATTTAGAATCATCTAGGAGCCTATTAAAAATGTAGGTGTCAAGGTCTTATCCTGGACCTTTATAGTCAGAATCGTGTGTGTGTGTTTGTTTTTAAGTTCCAGGCAGAAATCGGCTAGATAGCATTCACTTCCATACTGAGATAGACCTCTTATAGGGCTTGAAAAATAGATTTAAACTGATTCCTAATAACACAACCTTTTGTTTGGCTTTAGATAAAAATTCAAGAGAAGTATGTCTGGAATAAGCGAGAAAGCATTGAGAAAGGCAGTTCTCTGGGAGAAGTAGTTGAACAGGTATCAAAAAAGATACTGTGTACTGTGCCATACCAGAGAAGGCCTCTTACAGACAGGCTGGACTGTAAGCCACTCTCCCTTTTGCTACAGGGTATAACACGGGTGAGGAACGCCACAGACGCCGTTGGGATTGTGCTCAAAGAGCTAAAGAGGCAAAGTTCTTTGGGTATTTTTCACCTCCTGGTGGCAGTGGATGGAGTCAATGCTCTCTGGGGAAGGACCACGCTGAAAAGAGAAGATAAAAGTCCAGTAGGAAAACTGACTTTCTCTGCTCTGGTTTCTCTGGTTTCTGGTGCCACATTATATATAGTCTGGGCATAGTAGACATACAATATATTTTCTTGCCTCGGAATATTTGAATTAGATGTATAGTGAAAATCGCATCAAAAGGAGCTGAGACAGCCCCGGCCGGTTTGGCTCAGTTGATTGAGCACCGTCCTGTACACCAAAAGGTGGTGGGTTTGATTCCCAGCCAGCACATACCAGGTTGTGAGTTTGAGCCCCAGTCTGGGCAAGTACAGGAGGCAACAAATTGATGTTTCTTTCTCTCTCTCCCACCTCTTCTCTCTAAAGTCAATTTTTTAAAAAATATATTTTATTGATTTTTTACAGAGAGGAAGGAAGAGGGATAGAGAGTTAGAAACATCGATGAGCGAGAAACATTGATCTGCCGCCTCCTGCACACCCCCCACTGGGGATGTACCCGCAACCAAGGTACATGCCCTTGACCGGAATCGAACCCTGGACCCTTTGGTCCGCAGGCCGACGCTCTATCCACTGAGCCAAACCAATCAGGGCTAAAGTCAATTTTTTTAGAGGATGATACCAAGTTCCACTATCCATTGAAAACTAAGGGAGAGTATTTTTTTTAAAAAATATATTTTATTGATTTTTTACAGAGAGGGAGGGAGAAAGATAGTTAGAAACATCGATGAGAGAGAAACATCGATCAGCTGCCTCCTGCACACCTGCTACTGGGGATGTGCCTGCAACCAAGATGCATGCCCTTGACTGGAATCGAACCTGGGACCTTTTAGTCCGCAGGCCGAGGCTCTATCCACTGAGCAAACCATCTAGGGAAGGGACAGTATTTGAAAAGAGCATGACAACAGAAGCTACTAGTACATTTTTTTTTCTTTCTATTCTCTTTTCAAAATGAGGCTATGTGGTGTAAAAAGAGATCAGAAGTATCTTGGAGCCGAAACCGGTTTGGCTCAGTGGATAGAGCGTCGGCCTGCGGACTGAAAGGTCCCAGGTTCGATTCCGGTCAAGGGCATGTACCTGGGTTGTGGGCATATCTCCAGTAGGAGATGTGCAGGAGGCAGCTGATCGATGTTTCTCTCTCATCGATGTTTCTAACTCTCTATCTCTCTCCCTTCCTCTCTGTAAAAAATCAATAAAATATATTAAAAAAAAAAAAAGTATCTTGGGGGTATTTGGAGACAGTGGGTGTTTTCGCCCTTGGGGACTGTTTTTAAACTCCAGAAGCACAGTAGTTTTAGGGTCAACAGCTCTGTAGCTTATCTCAGGCTTATCTTCAGCCTCTACTTATGGTTACGTAGTAATTGAAGATTTTTTAGTCTTTACCAATTACTAGTAATTTGTCTCAGGGAAGCATCCAGGCAAAAGCAAGTAATGGCCTCTTTCTGCTCCCACCTCTTCCTCCCCTGCACACTGACCAATGTGCAGATCGCTGCAGAGGAACTGGCACTTATTCACAACCTGAGGAAGATGGTGAAAAATGACTGGGTGAGTGATATGATGCCTAACATATTTCAGAGAGAAATGTATTTTCATTTCAAAGATCTTCCACTATGTCATTCCTAGCACTTTGCAGTCTCTAATTTTATGGACAGAACGTTCTTTTATGTCATTTAATTCCCGTAACTGTACCAATTTAAAATCTATATATTTGGTTTCTAATCTTTCCATTTAACTGGAGTAAGCTTATTCAAAACCGTTTTATTTAAATATTGGTGTAATTACTTTGCTTACAATTGTTCAAAGTGTTTTTAGATCTTCTATCTGTTTTAGCTTTTTCTAATTGTCTTTTTCTCCTTTCTTTCAGAATGGAGGTGCCATTGTGATGACTTTGAGCCAGACTGGGTCTCTTTTTAAGCCCCGGAAAGCCTATCTGCCCCAGGAACTGCTGGGAAAGGTCAAACCATTGAAAAACTTGTTTCCTTTAGATAGTCATTCTGTCTAAAGACATCTTTTTCTTTTTTTTTTACATAATTTCAGACTTGGATAAAAATTATATTCCTATATGACTTCACCCAAATTCCTAAAATGTTAACATTAATCATATTTGCTTTATTCTTCTTCTTCTTCATTCATTTTTTTCTGAATATGTGGCAATAACCTGAGGATGCCTCTTTATTTAAAAATCATGTGTACTTCTTAAAACCAAAGATATCTTAATATATAACCAAAGCACAGCTGTCAAAATCAGAAAGTTGACATCGATATAATACTGTTAACCTAACCTATGGAACTTATTCTGGTTTTGACAGAATATCCCAATATTCTTTACAGAAAAAAGAGGGTCTTGGGCAGTGTGTTACACTCAGTTGTCATGTGTCTTTAGTCTCCTTTAACCTGGGACAGTTCCTCAGTCTTTGTCTTCTATACTCTTAATATTTTTATTTCTTTTTTTTAATTTTTTTAAAAATATATTTTATTGATTTTTTAACAGTGAGGAAGGGAGAGGGATAGAGAGTTAGAAACATCGATGGGAGAGAAACATCGATCAGCTGCCTCCCGCACATCCCCCACTGGGGATACACCCGCAACCAAGGCACATGGCCCTGACTGGAGTCGAACCCGGGACCCTTCAGTCCACAGGCCGACGCTCTATCCACTGAGCCAAACAGATTAGGGCAATATTTTTATTTCTGAAGAATACATGCCAATTATCTTAGGAGTTATTTTATGAAGTTGTCTGATGTTTTTCTCCTGATTATATGTGATATTAGAAGGGATGTGTGCTCTTAGTGCATAATATTAGGAGGCACATGAAACCTGTTTCTCCTACTACTAGCAATGTTAACTTTGAACACATAATTAAGGTGGCATCCATTTGGTTTCTCCTCAGTGAAGTTGTTATTTTACTTTTACAGTGAATAAATAACCTTGTGGATGTATATTTTGAGACTAGGTAAATATCCCGTTACTCCTCAAATTTCTCCTTACTAGTTTTAGTACTCATTGGTGATTCTTCCTAAATTAGTTATCATGATAATAGCAAAATAGATATGTTCTAGTTCCATCATTTCTTCTAAATGTATCAGTTGGCTTTCTATTATATGTAAGAGTTTTCCTTTCTACCTTATATATTTATTTATTTCAGTACAGACATGTGTATTCTTAATTTTTACTACCATTATTTATTTCGATGCTTAAATTTGGCCAGTAGGTGCCCCTTTAAGCTTACCCTGGATGCATATGGGCTACTAATAACACCCAGTTAAAGGCACCTTCTGGACCATGGTTGGGCAATGTTAATACCCACCATTTCTAAGCCATGGAATACTGATAGAGAAGAATTTATTTTCAAGATGAATTCGTGCCCTGGCTGGTTTGGCTAAGTGGATACAGCATCGGCCTACAGACCAGAAGGTCCAGGGTTTGATTCTAGTCAAGGGCACATACACGGGTTGTGGGCTCGATCCCCAGCTGGGGGCGTGTAGGAGGCAACCGATTGATGATTCTCTCTCATCATTGATGTTTCTAGCTAACTCTCCCCTCCTCCTTCCTCTCTGAAGTCAATAAAAATATTTTTTTAATTGAATTTCTAATGAGGTCAACATAGAACACAGTTGCCTGCAACAGCCACACACACACACAGGCAACATGTAGTAGATGAACCAGAAGGAAAAGAGATTATCTTTAAAAGAGTATGTGTGGCCAAAAGCACTACCTAGTGCAGTGATGGCGAACCTTTTGAGCTCGGCGTGTCAGCATTTTGAACAACCCTAACTTAACTCTGGTGCCGTGTCACATATAGAAATTTTTTGATATTTGCAACCATAGTAAAACAAAGATTGATATTTCTGATATTTATTTTATATATATAAATGCCATTTAACAAAGAAAAATCAACTAAAAAACTGAGTTCACGTGTCACCCCTGACACACGTGTCATAGGTTCGCCATCACTGACCTAGTGCGTACAGGCCCTGTGTGTTACTTAACAATTACTATATCTTTATCCTTTTTCTTTTCCAGGAAGGATTTGATGCCTTGGACCCCTTTATTCCTATCCTGGTTGGCAACTATAACCCAAAAGAATTTGAAAGTTGTATTCAGTATTATTTGGAAAACAGTTGGCTTCAACATGAAAAAGGTCAGCTGTTTAATTTTTTCTATAAGGACTTTATCTGTCAGGAAGAGCCCCACTGTCAACACCTTGACCTCTTCTTCCCTCAAGAGTAGTGTGTTATTTGTATTTCATCTTTATTCCCTTTATCTTGACTTCTTCCTGGCTGATCACATGATACAGAAGGGGGGAAGGGGTAAGGTTTAATTTACAAAAGACATTATATCTCTCCCAAAATTCTCAGAGTAGTCTACAATAAAATGCTCATGCTAAGAGAGGAGGCCAAACCCAGCCCAGTCACTTGGTTCAGGTTGCTGGCCACACTCTCGTTGTTGCATTTTTCTTTGTTTGTTTTTTTATCTTTTTTGTTCATTGTTGCATTTATTCATCATTCAACAAACTTCAGTTGACTCATATGCTAGGACACCCTCAGAATAGTTGACTGTGTAAGAGACTAAACCCCGCCGCCCCATCAAACCAAATCTTTGCTCTATCTGTCCTATTCTTGTACATGAGAGCATTCGAGCTGTTCTTTTTATCCTTGCCCTCGGCTTGAGGACAGGGAGGAGGAGGAGGATATAGAGGAAAAGTCAAGGCTGGTCTATCGATAGGTCATAGAGAATTAGCTGTAACTGGAATATGTTACTAAAGGAAAGAGTATAAAGCAGCTGCAACATGATGGGTTGGGAAGCACAATGGAGAGATTTGGGGTGGTTGGGAGATTTGACCATGTCCTAAAGTCCAGAAGATAATCGTGGAATAATGGGAAAGATAAATGCTGGACTGGAAGAATAGAGACAGGAAGGGAAAATGTGCATAGAAAATATAATCATTTATTAGGATGAAGGATCTAGCAGTGAGGTCTCTGGGAGTGCTGATGACATCAGAATGTAATCTAGATAATGTAGCCTCTGCAGAATTCTCTGGGTGTAACTTAATACTTCAGGAGAAAACTGCCAATTATCTGTGCTTGACTCCATTCAGCTCACACGGAAGAAGGGAAAAAGGAGCTGCTGTTCCTAAGCAATGGGAATCCTGGGCAGCTGGAGCGGCTCTGTGCCTACCTCTAGGCGAAGGCCACAACATGCATGGAAGGCAATGGACATCACAGGCCCAATGAGATGGGACGTCCCACAGCACACACACAGCTCATGAGACTGGACAGTACTGCAAATCAACTCCCAACTTGGCTGAAATGGGTTCCTGGTAAAGTGACTATAATGGCAATAAGACATCCTCTTGTTCCTGAAACTAATATCAGTCTATTATATATGGTTTTCACATTTTAATTGTGCCTCTTTTCCTAAAAAATAAATTATCTTTCTTAAAATGTTGTGTTAGATCTATACGATGGGAAGAGTCTTCAGATTAGCCAAATTTTACACTTTTATCGGTGGTCCTTGAGAACCTTACTGACACTCCACCTGAATCCGGCAGCTTTGTACAGTACAGCCCCTTTATACAGGCTCCCAAAAGAATTAAGTAGTAAACCCCGACAGAATGCATTGTGTGTAATGATTCACTTGTCCTTAATGCATATAGAGTAGTACTAGCTGTGTACCATCTTTGGGAGATTTGAGAAATAATTACTCAAATAAGCTTCAATAGAGTTAAATTGTCTGACCAAGTTTCAATAGAGTTAAATTGTCTGACCATACCCAGGTTTTTGGTATAGAGTCAAAGTTTTGAGTCACAAATCTACCACTTAATTGCTATCTGACTTAGGGTCTCTTACCCTATTTCCTTCTTTGATTTCACCTTATCTCTATTTCACTACATAAGGCCACTCTACCAAGTACAGGAGACAGCATCTCTACCTAATACATTGAAACAAACAAAGCCAAACTGACAAGACTAACAAATAGTTCCTAAATTTAAAAACAGGAGAAAACTTGAGAAAAAGAACTAAATGAAATGGAAGCAAGCAAATTATCAGATAGAGAGTTCAAAATACAAGTATAAGGATGCTCCAGGACTTTAGTGAGCCCTTCAGTAGCATAAAAAAAAGACATGGAATACCTATCTAGCAGGAGAGAGACCATGATCACAAGGGGATTTTCCCAAGGTGAGGATACACTGCATTCCAGATGTGCTGACCCCGTGATTTCCCCAAATGTGGGAAACTCGGCTGCATAATTTGTGGTAGTGGGAACTGCATTTGCGTTCTCCCCCGAAAAATAAATAAAGGCATGGAGCCCTAGCCAATGGGCTCAATAATTAGTGTTGGCCCATGCACCAAATGGTCAAGGGTTCAATTCCCAGTAAAGGGCATGTACCTTGCAGGTTTGATTCCTAGCCCCAATCAGGGTGCCTCTGGGAGGCAACCAATTAATGTGTCTCTCTCACATCGATGTTTTTCTCCCTCCCCACCTCTCCTCTTCCCTCCCACTCTCTCAAAATCAATGGAAAAAATATCCTCAGGTGAGGATTAACAAAAAAGTAATTTTTTATTTTTTAAATTTTTTTTAAAATATATTTTATTGATTTTTTACAGAGAGGAAGGGAGAGAGATAGAGTTAGAAACATCGAAGAGAGAGAAACATCGATCAGCTGCCTCCTGCACATCTCCTATTGGGGATGTGCCCGCAACCCAGGTACATGCCCTTGACCGGAATCAAACCCGGGACCTTTCAGTCCGCAGGCCGACGCTCTATCCACTGAGCCAAACCGGCTTTGGCAAAAAAATAATTTTTTAAAAAGGACATAGAAACTACAAAAAAAGAATCAGATGAAGGATACACTAATGGAAATGAATAAATGATCACAGGGCCAGGTGTGGGGGGGCGGGGGGGGGGGGAGCAGAGTGCACACCCAGTGTCTGCCCCCTCTGCCTAAGGCAGTGGATCTCAACCTTCCTCATGCCGCGACCCTTTAATACAGTTCCTCATGTTGTGGTGACCCCCAACCATAAAATTATTTTCGTTGCTACTTCATAACTGTAATTTTGCTACTGTTATGAATCGTAATGTAAATATCTGATATGCAGGATGTATTTTCATTGTTACAAATTGAACATAATTAAAGCAGTGATTAATCACAAAAACAATATGTAATTATATATATGTTTTCCGATGGTCTTAGGCGACCCTGTGAAAGGGTCGTAGTTCCACCGGGGTTGCGACCCACAGGTTGATAACCACTGGCCTAAGGGGTCAACTCTCAGGGCCCTACCACACCGGTTTGAGGACCTGGGGCTGCAGACAGGACCTGGGGAACTGGTGACCGGCCGGGCCAGGCTCAGCAGGTCCCTGGGGCTGCAGGGGAGCGCTGAGGGTGCCTGTGCTGAATGGGGGCCCAGGGGATGAGCGATGCTGCCACGGAGCTGGGGGGCATCGGGCACTTGGACCAGGAGGCGCCGGGGCAAAGCCACGTCTCAGAGCGAATGCAGGCAGTCTGCTGGTTTGCAGACCCCGAATCAATTTCATTTCGAGGTAAAACAAAATCTGCCAGGAGAGGCAGGCGGCGGAAGCCAGACGGGGAAAGTCATGGCACTTTGTAATCTAAGCCACAGACGGCGAGGGGAGGCGGGGTGTTCTCCACGCAGGGCCCTCGCCCCAATGCAGCGGGACTCCGCCAAGGTTACCAGCTGGGAGGGACCTTGGGACAAAGAGAGCAGCCGCCCGGAGGCACTGATGCCGTGACTCCCCGTGACCCTGCTGGGGGTGGATGGGGGGGTGAGGGGAAGGGTGAAGCCCATCAGAGCAAACGGCCGCTTACCCAGAGGTCACAGGTCAAGGAGACAGAGGCTCTGGGCGGCCCAGGGTCCATTTCCAGCTCCGTCCTTTTACTGCTGTGCACCCTCCAAGGAAGAAGCCACTCGCCCTCTCTGTGCCGCAGTAGCTTCACCTGTGCAATGGGCGCGTGAACGGGGGCGGGGCCACGTGATCTGCCGGAAGTGAACACTGTGGGGTTATGTTAGGAAGGACGAGGGGGCACCTGAAGATGGAGGAGAGGCCACATGAAGACGAGTGGCGATTGAAGGGATGGGGCCAGGAGCCAAGGAGCCCCAGGAGCCCCCAGAAGCTGACCAGGGGAAGGACCCTGCCCTGGAGCCCTCCGGGGGAGCACAGCCCTGGACGCCCTGATTTCAGATTCTGGCACCCAGATGGGGACAGCACTTGTTCCTGTTGGTTTAGACCTGTCTGTAGTCATCTGAGCCGCAGCCTCAGGAAATAGACCCCTCCTTTTGGGGTTTTACTTTATTTTATTTTTTATTGATTTCAGAGAGGAAGAGGCAGACAGAGAAACATCAATGATGAGAGAGAACCATTGACTGGCTGCCTCCTGCAAGCCCCTCACTGGGGATTGAGCCCCGGCATGTGCCTTTGACTGGAATTGAACCTGGGACCCTTTAGTCTGCAGGCCGACACTCTATCCACCGAGCCAAACCGGCTAGGGCTCCTTTTGGGGCTTTGACCGGGTTCTGGGAACAGCTGAGCCCTGTGCTCCGTGGCAGGGGAGACCCCCCAGCCCCCGCCCCAGACTTCTCACTGCAGGGCTCACAGGGAGATCATCCCTGTGTCTGCCTGGGCCCTGTCTCCTGCTCCCTGGCACTCCTCCGCAGCGACAGTGCAGTGGGCACACCAGGCAGGCTGCTTGGTGGGAAGCGCAGGCCACGTGGCTCAGGGACTCTCCGCTGCCTTGCCCAGCCCCCGCTGCAGGATGATGCAGGGCACTCCCCAGCCCCGCCCTTACCTCCCTCCCGGGCCTTCCCCTAAGGCAGCGGTTCTCAACCTGTGGGTCACGACCCCTTTGGGGGTCGAACGACCCTTTCACAGGGGTCGCCTAAGACCATCGGAAAACACATATATAATTACATATTGTTTTTGTGATTAATCACTATGCTTTAATTATGTTCAATTTGTAGCAATGAAATTGGGGGTCACCACAACATGAGGAACTGTATTAAAGGGCCGCGGTGTTAGGAAGGTGGAGAACCGCTGCCCTAAGGAGTCCTACCTGGGCCTGGGCCTGGGCTTCCTGGAGCACCTGGGTTGACAGGAGCCCACAACTGGGTTGGCGTGCCCATATTCTAGATGCCAAGACTGAGGCTCAGAGAGGGGGAGCAGAGGTCCTTACCCGCAGCCAACCTCCCCCTCAACTCAGCCCAGCTCACAGGTGGCTCCCCCAGCTGCCTCCCGGTTGCCATGGTGTCAGAGGAGGGGGAAGAAGAGGAGGAGGAGGAGGAGGAGGAGGAGGAGGAGATGATGATGATGATGAGGGGCAGGTTTCTGAGAAGCAATCCCTGAACACACACCAGCTGGCCCCTGGCCCCTCCTTGCTCACTTCCTCTCTCCAATGTCAAAGCATCCATTTGTGCAGCTGGGCCCGGGCCTCTTCCTAGCCAGGAGCAAAGATCAAGAAGGCAGAGGGCCCAGGGAGTGGGTTCTGGGACCCCAACCTCACCCAGCAGATTTCATGGACCCGGACTCCATCGCCCTCCCACAGTTCCCAGACCAGGCGGGCTCTTTCCTGCCTCCCTGCCTTCCCGCATGCAGTTTCCTCCATCTGGAATGCCCTTCCTCAGCCTTCAGGTCCCAGCCGGCTTTAACGGCTTTAACTCCACTGGAGAACCTCCCCTGAGTCCCCAGGGGCTCCCCCTGCATCCTGCACCCACCGCGGTCACAGTCACGGGGCGGTGAGGTCTTGGGGATGCTAGCTTTGCCTTTGTAGCCCAGCGCCTGGCACAGACAGGTGCTCAGTAAAGCAAGAAGGAAAGAGGGAAGGGAGGGAGGCAAAGGGAGCAAAGAAACACCTCTGGTTGGATTGGAGAGGATCTGGACTGTGAGCACCGGGCACAGGGCTGGGCACGGAGCAAAGCCCACCCCCTTCCTGCCACTTGAGCCTGTGCTCCAGCACCTTCTGCCTCACCCCGTTTGGAGCCGGCTCAGGGGTCCTCTCTACACCCACAGGCGTGTGTCTGCTGTCCCTTTGGAGGCAAGGTAATCACACCAGGATGCAGGCGTGCACTTGACTCCATAAGGAGCTCCCTGTGTTGGGGAGAATTGGGAGAAAGGCCTCCATTCTCCGAAATCCAGGGCCAGGCAAGCTTGCAAGGGCCTGAGGGCTGACCTTGAGCAGGGGATTTCGAAGGGTTTTCACACTGAGTACTTTCTGCAAACAATGCCTTACCTGATGCCCATGACATAAAGCATGGAAACTAAGCTGCTTGGGGCGAAGTGGTGCATGTTGAGGGCGCCTGGGAGAGGGGACAGACAAAGATAGTTCACAGGGTTAAGGCTGTGACTTTTTGAGCGAAGAAAGGGGTGCGTGGGAAGCTTTAGGGGAGCACCTTTTCCATCAAGCTTTTAGTTTTGCCTGAAGCAGAATTACCCCGAGAGAAGAGACAAACGCTGCAAGAGCAGTAAGACGTAGGGTGAACCCCGACAATCCCCACCTGAGCAGCAGACCACCGCACCAAGAACGCGCCAGCAAGGGGCGGAGGCTCGGGCGCTACAACTTCCGGCGTGGGCCCCACCCCTTGGCAACCACAAGCAAGTAGGATAGTCCACGACAGGAAGAGGCGGGAATGATGAGCGGTGTCTCTAAAGCCCAATGAATCGTTCCTCCTCTGGGAAAAGACGTATTTGTGGACCAATAGGGCTCAGAGGGTGAGGCCCCGCCTACAAGCTTGCCGAGCCAATCGGCTGAGAGCAGCGAGTGGGCAAGTGCCGGCTTTGCGTCTTCGTGGAGTCGCGCGGCATGGCGGGCGGCGCCCGGGAGGTGCTCACGCTGCAGTTGGGACATTTTGCGGGTTTCGTGGGAGCGCACTGGTGGAACCAGCAGGTGAGGTCTCTTGGCAGTTGCCCCAGCGGAGCCTTTCGGGACCTCCAGCCCTTGCCTCCGGCTGGCCCATCTTGCCACCCCTGAGTCCGGTCCCTTTTCTGCCTCCCCAGGATGCTGCGCTTCGTGAACCGACTGACACCCAGGAGCCGCCGGGGGAGCTGTGCCCCGACGTCCTGTTCCGGGCCGGCCGAACGCTGCACGGCCAGGAAACGTACACGCCAAGGCTCATCCTCATGGATCTAAAGGGTGAGGCGGTGGCCAGGGCCTGCCAGTGCCATGTTCTCCTTCGCATCGGAGTCTCGAGCATCCGTTCGTCTCAGGACCCTCTGACCATACTAAGCTGAAGGGCACAGATGAGTTGCCTAGGGAGAGCTAAGCACAATATACAAGTGCCCAGGGACGCAAGAAGGCACAGCTTTATTCCGTTCACGAGCCATCTCTGGAATGGGCTGCTTGTCCCTGGAGACAGTGACACGGCCGGCCTCTAAGACCGCTGGGTATGGTCTTGGCCTCATACCCACAGCCACAGCTAAGGAAAGGATGAAATCTAGATTCTCCTAGGCAATGTTGGTTTGTTTTTCCAACTTATGGATATTCCAGAAAGCTTGGAAGTGCCAAGTGCTGGAGGGATGGTGACAGCAGGTTTTCGGGTGAGCAGAGAAAGATTACCTGAAGCCTGGGAGGGACTAGGCTTTGATTTCACATTTCCTGTTATTTCTGTGCAGGTAGTCTGAGCTCCCTAAAACAAGAAAGTGGACTCTACAGGGACAAACAGCTGGACGCTGCAATAGCATGGTATTTGTCGTCTGGAGAAGAGTGGGAGATGTGCACAAAATGCTGGAAAACAAAGGCAAACTGGCTATGATCCGTCTCCAATTTCTTTAAGGCAGGGGAAGCTCACCACACACAAAGAGGAACTCCATCCCAAGAATCCTTATCTCCAGGATCTTCTTAGTGTGGAGGTGAGGGTCTCAGCCCTGAACTTCTTTTTCAAATTATGAGAGAAAGTTTATTTAGAAAGTTACAGAGGTAGTAAAAGTGAGCCATAGAAGAAACAAATGGCTAAGGAAACAAGTTACAGAGGCAAAAGAAAGGTTTAGGAAAGGACAGTGGGGAAAAAAGATCTGAGAGGGTGTGCTGGGGGGGGAGGGGTGGGGCGGACAGAGAGACTGCTCTGAACTTGCACACCGAGTGCTACAACCACAGTGCCTCCACTGGGTCAGAGAAATAGAAGATTCCAATAATCTTAAATGCCTTAAATAGTAATTTTGGAAGAAGCACTTTTCTTCCTAAAGGACTGTGACTACAAGCTCAATGGTTGAGCATCAACCTATGAAACAGAAGGTCACGGTTCGATTCCTGGTCAGGGCACATGCCTGGGTTGCAGGCATGATCCCCAGTGTGGGGCGTGGGGGGAGGAGGTGGGGGTGGCGTGCAGGAGGCAACTTATGGATGATTCTCTCTCATCACTGATGTTCCTCTCTCTTCCTCTCTGAAATCAATAAAAATATATTTTAAAAATTAATAAATAGCCCTAACTGGTTTGGCTCAGTGGATAGAGCATCGGCCTGCGGACTGAAGGGTCCCAGGTTTGATTCCGGTCAAGGGCATGTACCTGGGTGGCTGGAACATTCCCAGTAGGGGGCGTGCTAGAGGCAGGTGAATCGATGTTTCTCTCTCATCGATGTTTCTCTGTATCCCTCTCCCTCCCTCTCTGTAAAAAATCAATAAAATATATTTTTTAAAAATTAATAAATAAAAAGGACTGTGACTACATAAACAGAAAGGAGGCTGCAGGATGTGGCCAGCGAGATCAGGGAGGGTGAGCCTTCTGCCTTTAGACGCCTGGAACTAAGTACAGATTTTTCTCATCCCTCCCAGGGAGTGCTGAGCAGTGATGGTCTCTGGAGGGTCAAATCCATTTCCAACGGCAAAGGTGAGAGCGGTCCAAGTGCTGCAGGATGGGAAGTGGGCAGAGCGGGAACATGGAGAAGGTGAATTTCCTCTCATTTTCCTTCAGGTCTCCCACCACTCACCACTGCTGCAACTCCAGAGCCCCTTATCCCCACAGAGGGCAGCATCAGGGTCTGGTCAGACTTCCTCAGAGTGCATCTCCATCCCCGGAGCATCTGTATGATTCAGAAGTACAACCACGATGGGTATGGGGTGCCCCAGAGGCTGTGAGGCAAGAAACTGGGTCCCTACCAATGTTGGATGGGAGATCTCGGGGGGGGGGGGGGGGGGGGGCGTGGGGAGGCAGGACCCTGTAAGTCCTGGATTGTGTTTTGCATGATAGCGAAGCAGGTCGCCTGGAGGCTTTTGGCCAAGGGGAGAGTGTCCTGAAGGAACCCAGGTACCTGGAAGAGCTGGAGGACAGGTTGCACTTCTACGTGGAGGAATGTGACTACCTGCAGGTAGCTGAGGGGCACAGTGGACACTGGGGTAAACTCTACTTTTTTTAAAGGTTTTTAAATTGATTTTTGAAGAGAGAAAGGGGAGAGAGAGGGAGGGAGGGAGGGAGGGAGGGAGGGAGGGAGGGAGGGAGGGAGGGATGGAGGGAAACAAACAATGTGAGAGCAACACATCAATTGGCTGCCTCCTGCACAACCTCTACCAAGAGCCAGCAACCTTTTGGTGCCTGGGACTACGCTCCACCGAGCCACACCCACCAGGCTCATTCTGCTCATCATTCACCTCCAGGGCTTCCAGGTCCTGTGCGACCTGCACGATGGCTTCTCTGGTGTAGGGGCGAAGGCCGCAGAGCTGCTACATGATGAGTATTCAGGGCGCGGGATAATAACCTGGGGCCTGCTCCCCGGTCCCTACGCTCTTGGGGTGAGTAGAACTGGGAAGAAAAACCTCAGTGGAGGGGGAAATGAGGGAATGATAGCCCAGTGAGAAAGTTGCTGAGAACAAACTCCTCTCTTTCTTTCAGCAGGAGCCCCAGAAAAACATCTATCGTCTGTTAAACACAGCTTTTGGTCTGGTGCACCTGTCTGCTCACAGCTCTCTAGTCTGCCCCTTGTCCTTGGGTGGGAGCCTGGGGCTGAGACCTGAGCCACCCGTCAACTTCCCTCACCTGCGTTATGATGTGAGGCTCAATGCTCTTGTTCTGCTAGTAAAAGGGACGGTCCCACTCACCAAGTCAGCCTGTTCTGGAAGCCTCAGGCTATGATGGGGCCTCTTGGATCACATCCTGTTTAACCAGCCTTAGGCCAATCACACCGATTGTCTCCAAGCCCCCAGATCTCCCTGCAGTACTATCCCGCTTCCACACGCTCTTCCCAGAGCCGAAAGACTAAGCGCTCTTTTTGGTATCCTCTCTATAGGCAACTCTGCCCTTCCACTGCAGTGCCATCCTGGCTACAGCCCTGGACACAATCACTGCTCCTTATCGCCTGTATTCCTCACCACTTTCCATGGTTCATCTAGCCGATATGCTGAACTTCTCTGGGAAAAAGGTATGAAGCTTGGTGAGGGGTTAGGTCAGAACTGAGAAAAGGCCCTGTAACTTGGTTTTGTCCTTACCTTTAAGGTGGTGACAGCAGGAGCATCCATCCCCTTCCCTTTGGGTCCAAGCCAGTCCCTTCCCGATACCCTGATGCAGCTCGGAGGGGCCACCCCTTGGACTCCACTGTCTGCATGTGGGGACCCTTCTGGAACACACTGCTTTGCCCAGTCAGTGGTGCTGAGGGGTCTAGACAAAGCATGCCACACCAGGTGAGGACTGGTGGTCCTTAGGAGCCCTTGTCAGGCCTGTTTCGTGTTTTCTCTCTAATACCTCTGGACATTCTCATGGTATTGCCCTTCTCTTCTTCCCTGTCCCACTTTAAAAAAGAAAAAAACCTGAGCACCCCCATATGAAAGGTGATTTTGTCTTTGTTCTGGCAGTCAGCTCACCCCAGGCACACCTCTGCCTTCCCTACTCCATGCCTGCACCACTGGGGAGGAAGTCTTGGCCCAATATTTACAACAGCAGCAGCCTAGAGCCAGGAGGTTAGTAAAACACTTGCTCTTGCTCTCCTCCTAGATCGCAGACCTCCCTTGACCTTTTCTCACTCAGCTGCTATTCTCTTGTCCCCAGTTCTTCTCATCTGCTGCTGACTCCCTGCAAGGTGGTTCCTCCTTATCCCTCCCTCTTCTCCTCAAGCCTCAGCCAGCAGGGCTTGGTTCTGGATAATCCCCCAACTGGGGCAGGTATGTAGGAGACGACGAAAACCAAGATTTACTCTATCACTTCCTGGATAAAGATACTTTAAAGTCACAGTCAAACATTTCTTTATTCATTCAATGGTTCCCGAAGACTTTTCTTCCTCTGGAGTACTAGTATACTAAGGGGACAGTACACAAAATTTATTGAGTTTACTTTATAATCAAGTCAACTAAAGACCCAGACTTCCCTATCTATACGACAGTCTCAGGGTGAAGGAACAATCTGACTACAGGTCTCTCTTCTCTCCCTCTGCGGCAGGGGAGAGCATCCCAGTGCTTGGGGCCCTCCGTTCCTCTTCATCCTTGAGCCGGACCCTGGGAGACTTGGCCAAGGACCTCACCAAACTCAACCTGCGGCGCTGGGCCAGCTTCATGGACGCTGGAGTGGAACAGGATGACCTAGGGGAGCTGCTGCAGGAGCTCTGCAGCCTGGCCCAGTGCTACCAGCTTGGCGACAGCCTCACGGACTGAAGTTCCAAGAAAAGGAAAAAACTAGTTTACAATAAAAAGTGCTGGATGCAGGAGCTATGTCTTGGGACTGGCTACACCAACATATGCACTTATTACATTTATATAGAATCACTGTGCCTTACATCACAATAAATGTGAACCATCAGGACAAAAAGTCCAAGAAGGGTAGAAAGGAGCTGAGCCCCTCTCCCTCAACACTATTTACAAAATGACTCTAAAGACTTCGTAACAAACACTGAGTGAGGCAGAGAATGGCAGAGCCATGAAAACCCTCAGCCTAGCTTTGTCCTGTCCTTGGCCCCTGCTCCTTCAGCTCTATACTGAGCTCAAGGGGCACACCAGCAAAGGACAACCACCCTTTCCCTCGTCAGGGTGCCTGTGGTTTGGATCCGACACACACATCTCCCACATGCTTCCTGAGTCTCACTCATCCAGCTCCTCCTCAGACAGAAGATCCCCATGGTCAGAGAGCTGGTCTGCATTGCTGGTGCTGGTTGCATCGTCTTCATCCTCCGAGCTGGCCTCGCAGGCGGTGTGGAAGAGCTGCATGAGTTCTCGAAAACGGTGGGAAACCTAAGAGGAGAGGGGAAGGTTGGTGTTCCCTGTCTCTAAGTAACATAAAGCGTTATATACCAAGCTAAACAACCTTGTTTTCTCCACACAATAAGGTCCTCCTTAAAGATAAGAAAATTCAGGTTAGTGGCTAAATATTTTGTCCAAAGTCACTCCTAAAACCGAAACTACAATGGAATCTCTGGGGCTTCCACCTCGAAATCCAATGCCCTTTCTCTTCTAGAACCACCACAAACACCCTGGGAAGCCAGGCCCTTCCTCAGCAGAGCTTTACAATCTTGCCTCCTCTTAGTTGGCCAACCTGTCCTCTTCCTGCCTCTCCTGGATTCGAAACTGTAGAGGACTCCCCCCGCCCACTTACCTCAGTAGCAGTCTTATTGCCTAGCTGCTGGGAGATGATTCGAAAAGTCTGGGGCTGTGCTCCTTGTTCCTGGCACATGGTGAGAATCACACGGTCAGCTTCCCTGTAACCATATATTGTGATGAGTCCTGAATTAGTACCATGGATGTGGGCCACGTGCTTTATAAGCACACACGCACCCCGACCTACCTTGTCCACAGGACCACCTTTTCCCCGGTGGAGCTGACCTTGCTGTTGTTCGCACACACGGTGACTTCTGTGGCCTTTGGCTGCTGCTCCCCTTCTGGACCCTTGACCTGTATTCCACTGTCTTTAGCCAAACCTCCTTTAGGGGTTTTGGGAGAAGTCTCTGAGGGGTCCATTCCTGATGCAGATTCATGGACTGAGGACTTCCTGTCTGATGTCTTCATACCAGTTCTGCTTGAAGGCAGCCAGCTCTCTTGAGTATCTGGTTTCCCAGACACCTGTCTTCTCCCTAAGTCTCTGGTCCTTGAGGAAACCGGACTTGGGAAAGAAGCAGGGGGTTCAAGAGTTCCAGAACACTGAGTTTCTGAAGCATCGCAGACCAGCGTGGAGGACTCTGCGTCACCTGCTGCCTGGTGGCCCTCCCCCTCCCCCTGAAGCCTGGGGAGCTCCGTGCAGCAGGAAACCTCCGGTTTGGCCTGGGTTGTCCCAGTGTCTAGAACAACTCCAGTGCTGGAGGGAAGCTGAGGAGTCTCTGGTGAGCGGGGCGGTGGGCCATCCAGGAGGAGCTGCCGTTCTGTAAGAATCACTTCTTGAGGGGACAGCAAAGTGCTCCCCACTGCCAATCCTGCTTAGGAGGAAACAAAGACCTAACAGTGTGGACAGGGTGGAGATGCAACTAAGCACTGACTTCAAATGACCACAGGGCCACTCTGATAAGCTACTGTGACAAAATTCTAATCCAAAAGAGTGAGGTGGGGGTCAGGGCTAAAGTCACGTTTAAAGAAATAAGCCCTGGCCCGGTTGGTTCAGTTGGCTGAGTGACGCCCCATGCATGAGAGGTCACGGTTCAATTCCCAGTTGGGGCGCATACCCAGGATGTGGGCTTGATCCCCAGGGGGAGGCATGCAAGAGACAGCTGATTGATTGCTCTCTCTCACTGATCAGTAACAAAAATATATTTTAAAAAAAGAAATAATATTTGCGCCCCTAGCCTAATAGCTCAGTTGGTTAGGGCATCGTCCCAATACACGAAGGCTGCAGGTTCAATCCCCAGCAGGGCACATACAAGAAGCAACCAATGAATGCAAAAATAAGTGGAACAACAAAACGATGTCGCTCTCTCTAGACATCAATAAATAAATAAATAAAAAATATCTGCCTGCCAAAGCTCATAATGCTGGAGTCTTTAGAATGCAGATCACAGGATCTGGAGATAAAGAGAAGGGATTCAGGAATGGGAATACAAGAAAAGGCTGAATCATGTTGATTTTGTAGCATTTTTAGTTCTGCAAGAGTATTAAGGCCACAGGAGAGAAAATTAAGGCTGAACAGGAGAAGGGTTTCCTATTGGTTTATTAGTAACAGTCCTTGAAAACACTGTGATTTACCCAGGTTCAAATACATTTTTACTTGAAGTGTGTAAGAATAAGACAGAAATAAATGGAGAAAGGCTGGACTGGCAGCCAGATCACTCACCTGAAATAGGCCTCTCTCCCTGCCGGGTGCTCCTGCCAGTCCTGCTCTGGGTTGCCTCAATGGTTTCTCGTTCCTCTGGGGCTTCCTCCTCCATCACATCCTTGCCCTGCCCAGCTTCCTTAGCACCAGGCATAGGACTGGCCTCTCGGTGGGGGCTGCCACCCACCAACTCATGGGGCTCCTTGCTCTTGTAGGATTTGCTGTCATAGACCTGCAGGGATGGCCTTGTGGGTCAAGGGCCTCCTGACCCTCCTTTGTCTTAGGGGGCCAACCAAAGGAAGAAGCCCTGTTGGGATGCTCAGCAAGTCAATCAAGATACACGCCTGCTTCAAGGATTTTAAATGCCCAGAATAGAGTATGGATTCAACAACTCCTCTACCAAGGACTGTATTTTTGCTGCCAACCAGCTCTGCTCTCCCTAGAGACCCAGCATTACCTTTAGGGTCTGTTTTCTTGATACAGGCTAACTTAATTAAAAAATAAAATCATCTATGAAGGAACTATTTGAACTAATTGATTTTTTTTCCCAACTCCAAAAACTTTATCCACAGGATTCTCTTTAAAAAGTAAAATCTGCCAGACTGGTGTGGCTCAGTGGTTGAGCTTTGACCTAGGAACCAGGAGGTCACAATTCAATTCCTGGTCAAGGCACATGGCAAGGTTGCAGGCTCAATCCCCAGTAGGGGGCGTTGCAGGAGGCAGCTGATTACTGATTCTCTCTCATCATTGATGTTTCTCTCTCTTCCTCTCCCTTCCTCTCTGAAATCAATGAAAATGTATTTTTAAAAAAGCAAAACCCACAATATATTTTTAAAAGATTCTATTTGTATTCTATGTGTGCACACAAGGCTCACATTGTGGTGGCAAACAATACCCCAACAGCAAGCTGGAGGTCGACCTAGGTAGGCAGCTCCGATGCCTCTCGGTACAGTCTCTGCCCTCACCTTGCTGCTGCAGTGGCTGCAGTTTCTCCTTTTGCTCTTCTTCAGTTTGGAATCAGGACCTCCTTCATGGCATGCACAGGCACAGTCCTTGGCGCCATCTGGCCACTCAGTCTCCTAGGAGATATCTGGGCTTGGTTAGCTGCCAAGCATTTTGGTAGCAAGAGAGAAATAGCTTGCTCTGGCCCTGCCAATCCCATCCTCTCTCTTTCATTATATACCATCTTTATATTGCCTGAGGAAATCAACATCTACACTCGATTAAAGCTTATTGTGAATCCCTAAAACAATTCTTAAATGACCCCAAAACTGACATATCCCAGTTGCCTAGATGTTTCAAGGAATATTTAAGTCAAATATAATCTGAGGCAAAGACACTGGAGAGCTCCAACGTAAGATATGATCTACTCACTCATCTGTCTTTGTTTCTGTCTCCCTGTGCATTGAGCTCTCCACTCCCAATCACCTTGAGAGAGGCTTTGTACATATGGAAGGCTCACTCAATAATGCTATTTAATAAACCCAAGACATAAGTCCCATATTTATTCCCGTTGATGATGAAAAAACTGAAGAGATATTAAATAAATTGCCCATGGTCACTGAGCTCCTATAAAGTTCTTCCCTAAGAAACAGTAAGAGACATGGAGTAAAGGGACATGGATTTAAAAGACTACTTCTTGCCCTAGTTGGTTAGGCTCAGTGGATAGAGCTTCGGCCTGCAGACTGAGGGTCCTGGGTTCGATTCTGGTGAAGGGCAAATACCTCAGTTGCAGGCTTCATCCCTGACCCTGGTTGAGCACATGCGGGAGACAACCAATTGATGTGTCTCTCTCACATCAATGTTTCTCTCTCACTGTCTCTCCCCCTCCCTTCTATTCTCTCTGAAAATCAATAGAAAAATATCCTGGGGTGAGGATTAAGAAAAAAAAAAAAAAAGACTACTTCTTGCCCAGCTGGTGTTGCTCATTGGTTCACCCTCAACCCATGAACCAAGAGGTCACCGGTTCAATTCCTGGTCAGGGCAAGTGCTGGGTTGAGGCTCAATCCCCAAAAGGGGGTGTGCAGGTGGCAGCCAATCAGTGTTTCTAATTCTTTGTCCCTCTCCCTCTTTCTCTAAAAAAAAAAAAAAATCAATAAAAACGTATTTTTAAAATAATAAAATAAAAAGACTGCTTCTTGAAGAGCATTCGAGAGCAGTATGAGCAGGCTCTGGAGCTGGATTCCCTGGGTTCATATCCTCGCATTGCCACTTATTAAATATGAGACCCAGGCAATGGCCTCTCTCTGCACTTCAGTTTCCTCTTCTGTAAAATGCAAACAGGAGCAATCTCTTCATAGGATTATTGTGAGAATTAAATGAGTGAATAATCCATTGACAATATTTCCAAGAGATATATATTTTATAATACACCTAAGGACTAGCCATTATCATTATTAAAATGGGCAATCTTAGTTCTATTTTTTCACATAAACAGAAAAGAAAAAGTTAAGACCCAAGGGCAAGAGAAATAGCTCTGAACTAGAAAGAAAATGGGAAACAGACCCTTCTAATGAAGCAATCCAGAGTGGGGCCTCTAGCAACTGCACTGTTCTTCCCATGGGCTCTGCATGTCCACAGCAGCCTCAGATCCCGGAAGCTTTGCCAGAGAAACATTTAGGCAGAAACTCAAGTCTTGATTAATGGAAAATGGGCCATCTCCAACAGCTTGGTGTACCTTGTCATGGTTCTGTACCCCAATCTCCTTTCTTCTTTTGTTCTTTGGGGCTGTGGGTATCTTGGGAGGTTCCTCTTCCTCTTCCACATCAGGCAGTGCCACTTCTTCAAAGCCATCAAACTGGGGAGAAGGTGGTGCCACTCAACATAGACCATGGGCAGATTACCCCTCCTACACAGGCCTTCTCCCTTCACAACCCTAGTGCAGCCTCAGGGCTTTTACCTCATATTCCTTCTCTTCAGTCCAATTGATCTCTTCAAAGTCACCCATCCGGCTAGCTGCTGGGCGCAGATGGTCAAAGAAGATGGAGAACTCATCCTGCAGGTGGTCGTGGCCCTTAAGGAGATGCCACATCTGTGTCTTGAGCTAGGAAGAGGTGTAGAG